TGTTCAGCGTTCTGACGGGTGTGTTCAGCGTTCTGACGGGTGTGTTCAGCGTTCTGACGGGTGTGTTCAGCGTTATGACGGATGTGTTCAGCATTCTGACGGGAGCGTTCAGCGTTATGACGGGTGTGTTCAGCGTTACGACGGATGTGTTCAGCGTTATGACGGATGTGTTAAGCGTTCTGACGGGAGCGTTCAGCGTTACGACGGGAGCGTTCAGCATTACGACGGATGTGTTCAGCGTTCTGACAGGTGTGTTCAGCGTTCTGACGGGTGTGTTCAGCGTTCTGACGGGTGTGTTCAGCGTTACGACGGGAGCGTTCAGCGTTATGACGGATGTGTTCAGCGTTCTGACGGGTGTGTTCAGCGTTCTGACGGGTGTGTTCAGCGTTCTGACGGGTGTGTTCAGCGTTACGACGGGAGCGTTCAGCGTTATGACGGATGTGTTCAGCGTTCTGACGGGTGTGTTCAGCGTTCTGACTGGTGTGTTCAGCGTTCTGACGGATGTGTTCAGCGTTCTGACGGGTGTGTTCAGCGTTCAGACGGGTGTGTTCAGCGTTCTGACGGGTGTGTTCAGCGTTACGACGGGAGCGTTCAGCGTTATGACGGATGTGTTCAGCGTTCTGACGGGTGTGTTCAGCGTTCTGACGGGTGTGTTCAGCGTTCTGACGGGTGTGTTCAGCGTTACGACGAGAGCGTTCAGCGTTATGACGGATGTGTTCAGCGTTCTGACGGGTGTGTTCAGCGTTCTGACTGGTGTGTTCAGCGTTCTGACGGATGTGTTCAGCGTTCTGATGGATGTGTTCAGCGTTCTGACGGGTGTGTTCAGCGTTCTGACGGATGTGTTCAGCGTTCTGACGGATGTGTTCAGCGTTTTGACGGGTGTGTTCAGCGTTCTGACGGGTGTGTTCAGCGTTCTGACGGGTGTGTTCAGCGTTCTGACGGATGTGTTCAGCGTTCTGACGGGTGTGTTCAGCGTTCTGACGGATGTGTTCAGCGTTCTGACGGATGTGTTCAGCGTTCTGACGGGTGTGTTCAGCGTTCTGACGGGTGTGTTCAGCGTTCTGACGGGTGTGTTCAGCGTTCTGACGGGTGTGTTCAGCGTTCTGACGGGTGTGTTCAGCGTTCTGACGGATGTGTTCAGCGTTACGACGGGTGTGTTCAGCGTTCTGACGGGTGTGTTCAGCGTTCTGACGGATGTGTTCAGCGTTCTGACGGATGTGTTCAGCGTTCTGACGGGTGTGTTCAGCGTTCTGACGGGTGTGTTCAGCGCGACAGCAGGCGCGTTCGGTGTTGCAACCAGGGCATTCAGCATTACGACGGGAGCGTTCGGTGTTGCGATGGGCACGTATGGTGTTACGACAGGAGCGTTTGGCTTCATGATGGCCACGTTTTGCGTTATGACGTGAGTGCTCATTGTTATGACGGGCACATTCAGCATTATAACGGGCACGCTCGGCGATATGATGGGCGTGTTCAGCCTCATGATCGGAGCGTTCACCATTATGACGGGCGTGTTAAGAATTATGACGGCCGCGTTTAGCGTTATGACGGGCATGTTCAGCGTGATGACGGGCGCGTTTAGCGATATTAAGGGTGTGTTCAGCCTCATGATTGGAGCATTCAGCGTTATGAAGGGCGTGTTCCTCGTTATGACGGGCGTATTCAGCGTGACGACATGCATGTTTAGCGCTACAACAGGCACCTTCGACGTTACAACCAGGGAGTTTGGCGTTATGATGGACGCGGTAGGCGTTACGACTGACGCGTTCGTAGTTACGACGGGCGTGATTGGCTTAGTGGCCCATGCATTCGGCGTTATGACCAGAGCTTTCGGCTTCACGACGAACGTGTTCGGCGTAACGACGGGAGTGGTCATCGTTATGATGGGCACGTTCAGCGATACGACAGGAGCATTCAGCGTGATGACGGGAGCGAGCGTTCAGTGTTATGATGGAAGCGTTTGCCATCACGACGGGCGTGTACAGCATTATGACGGGCGTGTTCAGTGCTACAACAGGCACGTTCGACGTTACAACCAGGGAGTTCGGCGTTACGACCGGCGCGTTCATCGTTACGTCGGACGCATTTGTTACGACAGGAGCGTTCAGCGTTATGACGGGCGTGTTCGGAGTGAGTTGTGTTATTATCCAGCAGTGGATCATGGCTAGACACAACGAAGTGAGTGAGTTGTGTTATTATCCAGCTGTGGATCATGGCTAGACACAACGAAGAGAGTGAGTTGTGTTATTATCCAGCAGTGGATCATGGCTAGACACAACGAAGTGAGTGAGTTGTGTTATTATCCAGCAGTGGATCATGGCTAGACACAACGGAGTGAGTGAGTTGTGTTATTATCCAGCTGTGGATCATGGCTAGACACGACGAAGGGAGTGAGTTGTGTTATTATCCAGCAGTGGATCATGGCTAGACACAACGAAGAGAGTGAGTTGTGTTATTATCCAGCAGTGGATCATGGCTAGACACAACGAAGTGAGTGAGTTGTGTTATTATCCAGCAGTGGATCATGGCTAAACACAACGAAGTGAGTGAGTTGTGTTATTATCCAGCAGTGGATCATGGCTAGACACAACGAAGAGAGTGAGTTGTGTTATTATCCAGCTGTGGATCATGGCTAGACACAACGAAGGGAGTGAGTTGTGTTATTATACAGCTGTGGATCATGTCTAGACATAACGAAGTGAGTGAGTTGTGTTATTATCCAGCTGTGGATCATGGCTAGACACAACGAAGTGAGTGAGTTGTGTTATTATCCAGCTGTGGATCATGGCTAGACACAACGGAGTGAGTGAGTTGTGTTATTATCCAGCTGTGGATCATGGCTAGACACGACGAAGGGAGTGAGTTGTGTTATTATCCAGCAGTGGATCATGGCTAGACACAACGAAGAGAGTGAGTTGTGTTATTATCCAGCTGTGGATCATGGCTAGACACGACGAAGTGAGTGAGTTGTGTTATTATCCAGCTGTGGATCATGGCTAGACACAACGAAGGGAGTGAGTTGTGTTATTATCCAGCAGTGGATCATGGCTAGACACAACGGAGTGGGTTGTGTTATTATCCAGCAGTGGATCTACCATGGCTAGACACGACGAAGAGAGTGAGTTGTGTTATCATCCAGCTGTGGATCATGTCTAGACACAACGAAGTGAGTGAGTTGTGTTATTATTCAGCTGTGGATCATGGCTAGACACAACGAAGTGAGTGAGTTGTGTTATTATCCAGCAGTGGATCATGGCTAGACACAACGAAGAGAGTGAGTTGTGTTATTATCCAGCTGTGGATCATGGCTAGACTCAACGAAGTGAGTGAGTTGTGTTATTATCCAGCTGTGGATCATGTCTAGACACAACGGAGTGAGTGAGTTGTGTTATTATCCAGCTGTGGATCATGGCTAGACACAACGAAGTGAGTGAGTTGTGTTATTATCCAGCTGTGGATCATGGCTAGACACAACGAAGAGAGTGAGTTGTGTTATTATCCAGCTGTGGATCATGGCTAGACACAACGAAGTGAGTGAGTTGTGTTATTATCCAGCTGTGGATCATGGCTAGACACAACGGAGTGAGTGAGTTGTGTTATTATCCAGCTTTGGATCATGGCTAGACACGACGAAGAGAGTGAGTTGTGTTATTATCCAGCTGTGGATCATGTCTAGACACAACGAAGAGAGTGAATTGTGTTATTATCCAGCTGTGGATCATGGCTAGACACAACGGAGTGAGTGAATTGTGTTATTATCCAGCTGTGGATCATGGCTAGACACGACGGAGTGAGTGAGTTGTGTTATTATCCAGCTGTGGATCATGTCTAGACACAACGAAGAGAGTGAATTGTGTTATTATCCAGCTGTGGATCATGGCTAGACACGACGAAGTGAGCGAGTTGTGTTATTATCCAGCTGTGGATCATGTCTAGACACAACGAAGTGAGTGAGTTGTGTTATTATCCAGCTGTGGATCATGGCTAGACACAACGAAGTGAGTGAGTTGTGTTATTATCCAGCAGTGGATCATGTCTAGACACAACGAAGTGAGTGAGTTGTGTTATTATCCAGCAGTGGATCATGGCTAGACACAACGAAGTGAGTGAATTGTGTTATTATCCAGCTGTGGATCATGGCTAGACACGACGAAGTGAGCGAGTTGTGTTATTATCCAGCTGTGGATCATGTCTAGACACAACGAAGTGAGTGAGTTGTGTTATTATCCAGCTGTGGATCATGGCTAGACACAACGAAGTGAGTGAGTTGTGTTATTATCCAGCTGTGGATCATGGCTAGACACGACGGAGTGAGTTGTGTTATTATCCAGCTGTGGATCATGGCTAGACTCAACGAAGTGAGTGAGTTGTGTTATTATCCAGCTATGGATCATGGCTAGACACAACGAAGTGAGTGAGTTGTGTTATTATATAGCTGTGGATCATGGCTAGACACAACGAAGTGAGTGAGTTGTGTTATTATCCAGCTGTGGATCATGGCTAGACACGACGGAGTGAGTTGTGTTATTATCCAGCTGTGGATCATGGCTAGACACAACGAAGAGAGTGAGTTGTGTTATTATCCAGCTGTGGATCATGGCTAGACACAACGAAGAGAGTGAGTTGTGTTATTATCCAGCTGTGGATCATGGCTAGACACAACGAAGTGAGTGAGTTGTGTTATTATCCAGCAGTAGATCGACCAAGACCGATGGAACTGTTTGCGTGGGGCAGTGGTTTAGATGAGGTGGTAACGGCATCGATCCATTAATCACTGCGTCTAGATTCGTTTGTCTTGTTTTCGATTCCGCGTGTTATCAACACCCAATGCCGTACGATTACGAGAAGAATTGATGAATCGATTAGTTATAACTATCGATTCGTTGCTAAATTATCTTTAAAGAAAAGCCTCTTTTATAAATCTGTCACCGCAATTACATTTAAACGTCCCTCTGCGTGAAACGGCCGAATGGGTAAATAGATTTAATCATTTGTTTTCTTCTACCTGAAGTGCGGCTTTGAGTAAATGTATAAAGTGAAACTAGGAATCGATTCCCCCGGAAAGGGAAGGGCGTTTACGCCGTCGTCCGCCTGCGTCTCGTTACTTCGCTTTCCCTGCCTCGCCAAAGTTTCAAACTTTTGCGGAACTTTTTTTTATTTTCTAACTTCTTTATTTGGCTCGTCGGCTCCTATCGGACGACACCCCGCACAATACAATCACCGTGAGTCTATGCGATCGTTAGTTTAAGAGTGTTACTACACACACTTTTATCGGGCCCCCCCCCCCCCCCCCGTGTTGTGTGTGGCCGAGGCCCCGTTCGTGGTTTTGGTCTTCTGTCTATTATCGTGACGGAGCTTCTTCACTTTAAATCAATTCACCACGGTATTTACGTTCGACGCTTCAGTCGACGTGTCTGTGAATTGGTGTCGATGGAGGGAGCGCGTGGATTGCGGTGGAGCGAGGGAAGCGGCGGCGCTGCCGCGAGGCGTATCGGGCGCCTCGCGGGAGAAATGATCCCACGGTTGGGGGGGTGTGTGGGGGGCAACCTTCATCCAGCAGTGGATAGGTCGTGGCCGCTGCCGACGATGCTCTGTGTACTGTGCGTGGCTTGTGGAGGTCTTCATCCAGCAGTGGATAGGTCGTGGCCGCTGCCGACGATGCTCTGTGTACTGTGCGTGGCTTGTGGAGGTCTTCATCCAGCAGTGGATAGGTCGTGGCCGCTGCCGACGATGCTCTGTGTACTGTGCGTGGCTTGTGGATGTCTTCATCCAGCAGTGGATAGGTCGTGGCCGCTGCCGACGATGCTCTGTGTACTGTGCGTGGCTTGTGGAGGTCTTCATCCAGCAGTGGATAGGTCGTGGCCGCTGCCGACGATGCTCTGTGTACTGTGCGTGGCTTGTGGAGGTCTTCATCCAGCAGTGGATAGGTCGTGGCCGCTGCCGACGATGCTCTGTGTAGTGTGCGTGGCTTGTGGAGGTCTTCATCCAGCAGTGGATAGACGGGGCGGCCTGTCAAACATTTCACAACGTGGTTATGTATTTAGCCAGGTGAGAGGCTATGTGGATATTTGTACGAAAGCTAAGCTGCATTGAGACTGGCTAGTGCTCGGATGGGTGATAACAAACCACGCATGCCAGGTTGTCAGACAGTGGTTGGTCAACTGGAGACGGTGGGGCAGGATCTGTGGTTGTATTGTGCTATACCTCGATGCTCACCCACATCCAATGCGCCTTCCTGCCTTCACCAAGCCACTCTGATCAGACTGGTGAAGTATAGTCAACTAATTTCCACGACTTGCACGGAGATATGCGGTAGGCCCTCATCCAGCAGTGGATTGGCAAACAGGGCAGTATGCACAGTACGTGTAAAGATGCGTCAAGAAGGGTAACGTGGCACGTTGTGTACAATGTTACATCTGCAGGAATGAGGCCTTGAGGTGTGTGTGGCCTTTTGTGAATGGGTGCATGTACAGTCTCCTACCAATCCACTGCTGGATGAGGGCCTCCCCTCGCCATGCGGGTTGTGGTGGATATTTGACCATACTTCACGCTTGTCGCTATGGGTTTGTGAAAGCAGGAAGTATAAGACGCTGTGGTTTAGTAGTATGGTACAACAATGGATTTTGTTTCACTGCCCTTACAGAAACCCTTACAAGCACTATCCAGGCTTAACTCTGCTTGGCTTAATAGATCTGACGATACTGGATGATTTGACGATGGGCTAAGTTGATGTAAATATCTGTAAAACGGCCCTTTATGTAACGTGTGAAGTGGCACGTTGTGGTAAATGTTTATTAATTCGAGAATGTTTCGCCATCTCCCATCAGCAGCCACGATCTACTGCTGGATTATGGCCTCCCCAAGCCTTCGCCACATTGTATGATTCGGCGGTGAAATGTCAGTGCACATAACACCTCCGTGCAAGATGATTCAATTTTCCATCTGCTTGCTAGACGTCCTCGAGACATGTGCCATTCCTCGGTGTCGGCCCATCGTTATTGCTTGTGTCCTGCCCAAGCCCCACTTTTCTTAAAAGTGTCTATGTAATCATGAATCCGTGTGTTTTATACAACAATACATAGTTGAGGACAAAAACGCCTCTTGGAAATCATTACAGAAACCGTGCGTACGCATTTTTTTGTGTTGTTGGGCTTAAAAGTGGAACGTGAAATGAAAAGCCTGGGCTTTGCTGGAACTTATAATGGTTTTTCACTCACACTGTGACATTGTTTCCTCTGGTTATTCTCAGTGTGTAATCACAGGACCGTGTTGTGCGGTCATAGTCATCAGAATAATGCACTACCCTTGTGCCCGTCCACTGCTGAATGAAGGGCTCCCACACGCCACGTGGGCTTGTTTGACGAACCTCACTCATGCTGGTCAGTTCGGGGTGGGGCCCACGACATGTTCAGGTATTCTCTTGTGCATGATGCCAGCAGCAGCCGCAGAAATACGTTCAGGAGTGAGATGGCAATGTCTTGGTGTGCTGCTGGCAGCGACGAGAGGGCTTCAGGAGAGAGTTTGTGGCGTATTTCTAATCCTCCGTTGAAGGGGCACAGACCTCAGTAGTTTAATATATGGTCCATCGTTTAGGTTACATGGCCACAATTGCACCGCTGTAGCTTCTATAAAAATTTACACTCATGAAGTTTTTCGCATCAGCCTGTTGATGTTGTGGTGCGGTTGGTGGCTACACCAGTGTCGTCCCGGAATGTCAAAGCAAGGAGGTGCGGTGTTTGGGTCTCGAATGCGGTGTTTATTGTGGAAGTCCACGTTGTTCCACTCTATTTGCTAGGCAGCGTTCTCCCAGATCTTGGTGAGATTCAAGAATGGTGGCAGCAGTGAAATGCCAGAAGGTGGATCGGGACTTGAGTCATCAGCCAGGAACATTTTTGGGGTCTTGGTTGATGGGTAGGTGGTTATTGTTGCTGTTGGTAAGAAAACGCGTAAAATTCCATGCAGTGTGAATGTCACCCTGGATATTTGGTGGCAGAATGTTCGCCAAAACAGGGAGCGAGGGGATTGGTGTCGGGTTCAGTGTTCCAGTTACGATTCTCATTGTGTTCTTTAATTGTGCATCTAACCACTGATGTTCGCTGTGACTAGGAATCAGACTCATTGTGCCACTGGTCCTGACGCAGTACAGTGTTTCACAATGGAGAGTGGCCACCGCAGCTGCATAAATTAGGAATTTGCAGAAAGGAAATAATTTACCAATGACTGCACACAAAACCATTGCATTTGGTTGGGGTCCGCTCTTCATTTGGATAAATTCTAGCTTTTGAATCTATATAATTAATTGATTTACCTTGCAATGCCCATTAACTCTCACATGTAGATGAGTGGGTTGGAAAATTCTGCCTCCCATTGTGTGTGGACTAGAGGCCACTTCAAAGGATCTAAGAGGTAGTTCAGTGATATCCGCTTCTCTGGGCCGTTCTCTTAATGTGACTGCGATTGCACAAATGAGATGAAGTTGAAGGGAAATGAAAAAAACAGAATTAAAAGGTCCAACGATTTAACATTGAGCAACGTCTTAAATGTAAACATGAAGCATAAAAGAGAATGCTGCTGCCGTGTAATGGTTAGCACACTGGACAGGCAATCCAGAGGTGGCACGAGTCTCTTAAATCCCCCCCGCCTCCGTCGACCTAGAAATAATAATGGGTATGCCACAACTATTCAATTGGCATGTAGCGTTTGGCAGGGTAAAGTGTGGAATTGCCGCCTCTTCCAAGACTTGTGGTCAACGTAGAAGAGTGCCTTAAATTGAGAAAATCTTATACTTAGCCGGGCGGTGGTTGCGCACTCCTTTAATCCAGCGCTGTGCTTGGCGAGGGTTGGTGGATCGCGCACATGTTGTGAAACCCCCTTGCTATGGGCATAGAGGAGAAGCCATACCCTGGCTTGCCAAGGGGAAGCACAGCAGAAATGTGAACTCCACCTTTCCCATCTGTATGAGATCGGGTGTTTCCCTCTCGCACATGTGGATTTTCTCCAGGTGCTCTTGTTTCCTCCCACATGTAAAGACTCAATAATTGGCAAATGACACCTTAATATACAGAGGGCCACAGAGCTTGGGCAATTGTTGGCATGGGCTCACCTCATGGCTGCTTTTCCACTTGTCTGTGGTTCTTCCTTGCGCCTCGTGAGTTGTTTTTCATGGAGAGTAAGTCAATACTTTGGCACGTTACAAGTTGGAATTATTATTATATACAGACACTTCGCGTAAATTTCACTTTGTGGAACGGTTGAATGGCTTGGCTGTTTGAATTAGTCATCACTTAATCACCCCATCGTCAATTCCTGTTTTTAACGAAGATTGAATCAGTTCTGTTTTGTCAAGTATATGTCTTTCTGAGATGCACTTCATAGTAAGTTCAGTGCAATAATTTGCGCTACCAGAATAGAAGCTTCTGGCAATGATGTTTGAATAGTGCCTGGATGGTGGACCAAGAGAGATGGCCAGGTGTGGTACGTGTGGGCCTGCCAGATAGCCAGGACTTGAGTCTCCACCCCCGGGGCATACATGGTGGGTGTTCGCCTGTTTCCAATTAGATACTCAGGATCTCCTGAGTATCTAATTGGCATTATTCTTATTATAAACGTTTGATACAGGCTATGCAACAGCTTGGCAGCAATCGCCAGCATACATAACATGGTTGACCTATAGGGACCCATCCCTCGACTGTACCCGTGCATCGATCAGCTTCGCACTGTGTGGAAATTCCTCTGGTACAACTATGGAAAACTTTTTAAACTACGTGGTCAAAAAAAGATGTTAAGTCGTGTAGAGGCCAGAGGAGATCCCTGTCGCACCCCAAGGTGAACAGGGAATGGCTCTGACTCCCGGCCACGCAGCTTTACCTGGGCCTGGCCACCGTCATTATGGTTCTTAATGATTGTGAACAGAGAGTCAGGGATCCCAAAAGCACGAGGAACAACCGCTGCACGACTGCTCCCATATGCACGCACACACATTCACACCTATGCCTCCATAGAATGTCACTGGTTCACCGCTGCGCTGTCAATGGCGTGTTCGGCTTTTCCACAATCACGCTCTGGGGTTGCGAAGGTTTGTTGTCAGAATGAACACTGGCCGTTTGTTGCCCCTTGCTCTCCCTTAGGGCGGTGGAGGTGAAGTCGTCCGACCGAGACGTTGCCGGCCAGATGGCGTCGTCCGTGACGCTGGAAGAGGCTCTTTCGAACGTGGACCTGTTGGAGGAGCTTCCTCTGCCCGACCTGCAGCCGTGCATCGAGCCACCGCCTTCCTCCATTCTCTATCAGGTCCACATGCATTATAGACCCTACTGATTCACACCACTGTGGATTCTACAGATTCACTCCGGTGTAGTTTCTACAGATTAACACCGCTGTGGATTCTACAAATTCACGCCGCGTTGGATTCTACAGATTCACACTGATGTGGATTCTACAGATTCACACCACTGTGGATTCTACAGATTTACACAGCTGTTAATTTTACAGATTTACACTGCTGTGGATTTTACAGATTCACTCCACTGTGGTTTTTACAGATACATACCGATGTATATTTAAACCCCAAGATTAGGATTTATATCACTTTATATTCATGTACTCTAATGGTCGAAAATATGTAGAACTGTGAATAGAATCGTTACCCCAAATCGTAACAATTAATTAAACTGTTGGGAGTGGATTGCCACATCCCTGCTTCTCAACATGAGCCAATCCTTGCCAATAGACATACACGCTACGTAATTTCTTTCATAGACTTTTTCCAAGACAAGCCACGGCAGTGCGATTGTGGCCATGCAATATTAAGGTTAGACCATAGAGTAAACCACTGAAGTCTGCTCTTCTTCAGCAGAGGAAGAATAAAACGGCCTTCTCCTGGCTATCATTCAGCTCCTGAACGTATTGCAGTGCTCAATAATAGAATAGGAGACTTTTGCTGACCATCCACAGCAGAGGTGTGACATTTTTTTCCTTAAGGAGGGCCGAACAAGAATTAAAAAAAACATTTCAAAGTGGTAGTAGGTCTCGTGAAGCCACGGGGCCGTATGAAATTTAATTGGTTGGGCCGTAGGTTCCACACCGCTGGTCCATGGAATCACTGTTGCTGCTGCTGCTCTATGTGGCGGTGATCTTCTTATGAGCTAATGGATGTCCTCTTTTGTCACAGGCCAACTTTGACACCAACTTTGAGGATCGCAATGCTTTTGTTACCGGGATTGCCAGGTACATCGAGCAAGCAACTGTCCACTCCGGAATGGTAAGTGCAACGAGCGCGACTCAGTCGCATGACACCCCGAGTTGATGCATGTATGCAGCCCGTTTAGACATCTGCTGCTGGGTGAAGGCCCTCCCTCACACCGTGCAGGACGTGGGGTTTTTTGGTCTTCACGTACATCGGTGCGGGTTGGTAAAAACAAAAAGCATAGAAGTACAGAACAACAATGTATTTCGTGTGACAACCTGTTGTCATGCATGGTGGTTGCTCATGAGTACTATCCAGGCTTAGCTTCTGGAGTTCTGTGGGCTAGGTGCACATTCTGGGAGGTTTGCTCATAGGTAACGTGCCTAATCATGGGTGACTTGGCGTAAAATAGGAGTGGGTGTGTTTGTGTAGAGCGGTGGCGCAGCGGGTCGCGCACTGCGCTTATGAACACGCCGGCTAATTCCTGCTCACGGCCAACATCGGTAATACATACCTAAACCGTTCCTGGGCCTCCATGAAGCGAGCTCAGCCTTATATGAGTATCTGGTGCGGTGTGTAAACATCAGCGCTTAGGGAGACAAAGGTGGCCGAGCACATTGTTGGTCACACAGCCCCCTTCTATGCCACGTCGCCCCTCGTAGGTTGCTCGTGTACAGCACTCACCCCAACAGTCTGTGAAGGACTACACGGGGGATCTTTGTATTCTGTCTGCGTGGGCGTGGCACTGGCCACGCCCGCCCCCTTACGTGTGCCGTGACGACCGTTTCATGAGCGGCACTTTCCCTGGCACTGTTTGTAAGCGATGCGGGCAATCGTGGTCTGCGATTTCAGAATGAGATGCTGGAGGAAGGCCACGAGTACGCTGTCATGCTCTACACCTGGAGGTGCATCTCCCGGGCTATCCCACAGGTGAGCGCTGGTCTCCTCTGTTGGTTGCCCACTGGTTTCACCTCCGCTGCCCACTGGTTTCACCTCCGCTGCCCACTGGTTTCGCCTCTGCTGCCCACTGGTTTCACCTCCGCTGCCGCATCGTACACCTTAACCTACCCAGCTTTGCCCTGTGCCCTCATTATAGCAATGCATCGATGAAGCTCGTCCCTTACCAGTGTTCACAGTGAAAACCAGGAAGTGAGTTTGCGTGTGGAGACCTCTGAGATTTGTCCATGCGCATCTGTTTTGTCTGTGTCAATGTGCGCATCTTTGTCTTTGTGTAATGACAGACTAGAGAGACGTTGTATCAGGAGGCACTCTATTTATAGCCTTCGTAGGCACTGAGACTACTATAGTAAGGTCAGGACAGCAACAGGCTGCCTGACCCATAATGCTGAGACGATGGTAAGACGATGTTGTCGATGACGAAGACTTGGCGAGACTTGACTTGACGGGACTTGACTTGACGGGCTCCAGGGGTCCGCTCCAACAACGGCCCTGAGTCCTCTCCGGGGTCCCCCTTATATCCCCCCCAGTGCAGCCTCGTTCCCCCTTGGCTATGCCCCCCTTCTAGAACCCCTAGAAGGTTCCCGGGCTTCTCCCGTACCCCCTGCATCCCCTTCTCCCCACATCCCTTCCTCCCGTCTACCCCCTCACTTCTGGCCGACAGGGTTGCCATGGCAGCCGAGCTCCTTTTTGCCAGCAGCCAGTGCTACATGCCGTAGTGACCTATTCCATATCACTACATATGTATTGCAGTGGTGCGGTGGTTGTCTGAACCCAGTGACCCGAGTTAAATTCCTGGCCGCGGCTAACATCAGCAACGTATATTTGAACCAGTTCTGAGCCTCCCGCAAGTCGAATCCGCCTTGAATAAGTACATGGTGTGGTGTGTTCACATCAGCACTGGGGAGACAAAGGCATTCGGATGTGATGCTGGCCGTACCACCCTGCACATGCATTAGGAATGTGTGCTTGCTTATGAATTCATATCACTGAAAATTTGGCCTCGATATGACATTTCTGACGATTCTCAAAGATCATAGTTCATCACGCTGTAGTGTGAGTTGATGAAGGCTGTGAGCATAAACACGGGATCATAGAAGTACAGTAAAACACATGATTTTGCTATACTGCCCTCTATGCAACCACACAGCCTATAACGCCTGCAATACACAGTGGTTGCTCACCCAAGTACTATCCAGATCTAATGAGATGGAGTGCATTCTGGGTGATTAAGTTATAGGCCCCCACAGTTTTAATGTTACTGTTGTCAGTCTGTAACTTTCCACTTTAATTCCCTTCCTGAGTTGTTGTGCGGACTGTTTTGATTTCATATCGCCATCTCTACTGCTGCTTTCCTCTGGATCCTCTTGGCTTCTGTGGGTGTCCACCGTGTAATTAAGTGCGTACAACGCCGCGTGGGGGAATTGCTGTCGTTGTTTGTAGGTGAAGTGCAATGAACAGCCGAACAGAGTGGAGATTTACGAGAAGACGGTGGAGGTCCTGGAGCCCGAAGTCACAAAACTCATGAACTTCATGCATTTCCAGGTATGTGCTGTGGCAGCCTCTGAACCACGGCTGATGGGTTGGGCAATGCGACCTCTTTCTCAGTTCCTTTTTGTTTGGCTGATATTAGGGGAAGGCAACAACTGTTATTTTACATCTAGGTGGTTGAGCCAAATGATTTCGTCAGGATTAGCGGAGTGGATCACTGTTACTCCTCCTTGTTTGTGAATCGGACACCGAGTCGTTATTTGTTCCATGGTCACCGGATTTGTTTAAAATTTTACTTTTGTGCATCATATCAAGTATCCGCATCTGCCAATGGTTTGTGCGGTGGATGTGGTCTAGGGTCATGGCCCATAAGTATTGCAGAAGGTTAAAGCCATGTTGCTTCTGCGTCGGGTCTTTCATGAGGTGTTGTGATTTGTTGTGAAATCGTTTGGCTTTCACAGGCATCATATGGGTTGAAGTTGTATTTTTAAAGGTTAAGCGCGTTTGTCCTATTGTGATTGCTTGACTTCAAGCAGTCATGAGCGATGTTATTGAGCTCCTCTTGGATGGGGAGACTTAATTTTCCCAATTACTCGTTTGATTATAATTTTGCTTGTGTTTGTAAGATATCACTCTCCCTAAGAGCACTTGGCCCAACCAACGGCTTATGTAGGCTATGCGGGGGGACCTTTGTGTTTGGTAGTGGTGACGATGGTTGGTGCCCCGATACGCTCTGTCTCGTTCAGCGAAAGGCGATCGAGAAGTTCTGCGAGGAGATGAAGCGTCTGTGCCATGCTGAGCGGCGCAAGGACTTTGTGTCCGAAGCATACCTACTCACGCTGGGCAAGTTCATCAACATGTTTGCCGTCCTTGACGAGCTCAAGAACATGAAGTCGAGCGTCAAGAACGACTACTCCGCCTACAAGCGGTAACACGCAAGCCGCAAGCTACGCACTCGCGCCGTCGGGGGAGGTGACAATTCGTCTGCAAAAAGCGATTCTGCCTACGCTTCAGAGAGGGCCGCGTGGATCCAGGGGGTCAGGTGGCCGAACCTGAAGCGCTGAGATCTGGGGTTCGACTCTAGGCAGCCGCAGACCATTAAACCAGCTTTCTCAAGTGCAGTCAGTTGATGGTCTCAGCCCAGTTGCACGTACAAAAAAACCCATCGTGTGAAGTTTGGTTCTGCACTTAATTTCACTAAATTCCAACCCTGAGAATTCAATATTGGTTTGACTGTCATGCAACAAACGTTGCTCTCCTATGCAGAGGGTGTGGGAAAGTGCTGCCCCCAACTTTGTGAACCATACGTCACTGGAAGGGCCGCACTGCTGTGCAAGAGATCCGCATGGATTCGTCTTCTCGTGACGTGTTATCGTGGCACAATCAGGTTAACGTTGGGGGGGTGGGTGAAATAACAATTTGGTAAAAACAAAATTATTAAATTATTCAAACAAATTCTTACTTTCACAATATACAAGTTGAGTCGTGTGTGTTGTCAATGATCTAGGTGAGCAGGGTTCTTCAGCTAGTGGCCTGTGGACCGGATGTGGCAAGGCTCTTTCAGCGGCCCGCCGGGAGATATTGCTCACCGAGAAAGAGAGATACAGATTGGTGAGATGAAAGGGAGATGAACGAGACTTGGGGATGAGTGAGATACAGCAATTGTTGCTTAAAGAGCCGGATAGCCCAGCTCTACGCAGAGGTGGAGGTGTGCGGTTGGCTGTGGCACGGTACAGATTCGGTAGAGGAATGACTCGGTGGCGAGAGGAACCTCGTAACGTATTTATTCTTTTGGGGCGTTTGTTCCAGAGCTGCTCAGTTCCTGCGCAAGATGGCTGACCCGCAGGCCATCCAGGAATCTCAAAACCTGTCCATGTTTCTGGCAAGTCACAATAAAATCACGCAGGTAAGCGTCAAGTCATTGATTTATGACAACTATACTAATTTTGATTTAAAGCTTTCGTGACTGCAGTAATTCATATTCTTAGTTTTTTCGGTAAACGGTCATCATCAGGTGTGATGATGACCGTTTGAGTTATGGTCGAAACGTCGTGAGAATTTTTTATTGTTTTATATATATTTTGTTATTTTGTTGTTTCTCTTCAACGTGACTTTACCGAAAAAACTAAGAATATAACTATACTAATTATAATTTACAGCCCTTGATCAATCCGCTGCTGGATGAAGACCTCCACTCATCATGTCAATCATGGGGGATGATTGACTGATTGACCTTATCACGCACTTGTCCACATTTTTTCATGCACATATGAAGAGTGAAACATAATAGTGTTTCACTCTTCATATCTGCCAGTCGCACCCCCGTATCAGCACAGATCAAAAGAATTCGACTCATCTTGTCTGTTGTTAACATGCTATTGGTGGGCAGACCCATGGGCCCATCTCACAATTGTAATTGTGTAATTTATAATTTACTAGCTTTACTACCCGGCTTCGCCCGGGACTTGGATTCTTGTCTTGGATTAATGCACGGCCTACGCGGAGGGTGGGGGGGGGGATGCGTGACGTCGGCAGTCACACTGCGTGACGCCAGCAGGCACACTGCGTAACGCTGCCGCATGCGGGTGACATCACAGATGTGACGTCACCCCACACTTGCCATGCAAAATATATCCATTATTGCGCCCCCCCCCCTCCCCCAAAATACAAAAGTAAATTTTTATACCTTTTGCATTGTGTACAATCTGGAAGCTACCCACATACCACATTTCAAGTTTGTTGCATGTCGGGAAGTATGCTAAACATTTCGAACAGACACTCATTCACAAATTTCCCTTTTATACATATAGATTTGAATAACATTAGCGATGATATTTTCAACTCGCATCGCTGTTTTAATGCTGTCTAAGGTTTGATTCATTGACTGCCCATCATTTGTGTGAAAGGGGGGAAAGCATAGTCTCATAAAGATGAACCAATGCAGGCAGACCTCGCTTCGCACAGATACACACAGGCAGACCTCGCTAAGCGTGGCCCTGTCGAACGCTCACGCGTTACGGCGCTCTTTGTCCTGGAAGAAGTAAAAAAAACTGACGAAATTAAAGAACAAATCTGCTCGGTGCTTATGAGGGAGAACATACATCAGCACTGGCTGAAGAAACGACCCGGCCCCCATCATTCACTCGGCCAATGAAAGCGACGCACGCTCCGAGCCAACCAGAACCCACCGCCAATGATTCTATTAACGCGATTAGTGATCGCGATTACATGAGAGAGAAAAATTAGATTTGTTTAGCCAGGTGAGAACTCACGGGACCAGGATAGAGTCTCGGGCACCACTTAAAAGAAACCTCACCACAGGAATGTAGACTAAGGGCATCGCTAAGATCACGGAGGTCCTGAAGCTCTCCTCTGAGAATGACCCTGGATTGGGAGAGCAGCAGCAGCAGCAGCTCCTCCAACCTCGTCTCCCACCACTGCCTTGTAGGAGGAGTGCAGTAGAATGCACTTGAGTACTGTACATAATACTGATGTTATTGTCATATATTTTCATTCATTTAGTTTCTCAATCCGCTTGTCCTGGTGAGGGTTGTGGTGGCAGCATGTTGAGTAGTTCTTGAGTCACAAACCAAAGATGACATGCGCATGCATACGTATTGCCCTGACAGCTACCCACCAGCTTCGTGCTGCTGCTCATTATAAATGCACCTAAAGACAAAGCAAATTTGAAGGCATTGCAGAATCGATGCGTATGCACGATTTTTCCAAACGTGTCGATTGTCATAATAATGACACAGGCTGGACAATAATGATATAAGTACAGGTATCCCTCGATTTACGAAAGGGATGCGATCTTCAAATTGCACATAAAACTATAGGTCGTAAATGAAGAATGGCTTTTCCCATTTAATACTATAGACTAAGGATGTGTTTCAGACAGTCGTTCCAACTCTCCTCCTAACAATGTACAGCTGTCATTTTTCACAAGACAAAAATAATAATTTAGAACGTAAATATTAACCTTTTCAGTGAACTCGCCAACAGATCTGCATGTTGGAATGACTGGCGTGGTGATGTTGAGGCGTTACTGTTGCACTGCAGGGACACCGTGACGCTGTTGCAGATGGTTGATGGCACAGCTTCCTGAGTGCTTCTTGTTTGATGATCTCATGGCGCGTGGCCATAGTGATATTTTGTTCATATGAAAATTCGATTTTGTTCATTAAAAAGTGTCCATAATTTGTCAATTTCATTCACGCAAAATTTCGTAAACTGAACGTTTGTAAATCGAGGGATACCTCTAAATAGGATTGACAACAACAGAAGCGCAAGGACATAGGAGGCGGTATGCTAATGGGGGTGTGGGGAAAGGACAACAAACTAAACACAAAAAGCAGTTCTTAAGAAAAATAATTTTCAATCTAGATTTTAAAATGCATAGCTCCGATGGCTTCCTAATATCAGAAGGAAGAGCATTCCAGATGGCCACAGAAGCGCATCTAAAATCGCGCGATGCAGTGAACGTTGATGGCCCGCCAAAAGCCGCTGCGAGGATGACAAAACCAGGTGTATCGACGCAGCGATAAGAGATCTAGAAGAGAAGGAATTGAGACGGTTCGAGGCAGCAATTCTGGCTGAAGTAATAAGACCACAGTGGACGCGTATTTGGTTATATCGTCGCTGACGAGCAGATGGAAGGGACGGAGCATGGCAACAATAATGAACGGTAGTTGATGGCAGGCCCGGTTGCGCGTGCGCAAGTGTTGCCTCCTTGATCCTTTGCTCCTCTTCTCTCCCTGTAGACTCTGCAGCAGCATCTGGAGGTGATTCCCGGCTACGAGGAGCTGCTGGCTGACATCGTGAACCTCTGTGTGGAGTTTTACGACGACAAGCTGTACCTGACTCCCAGTGAGAAGCACATGCTTCTCAAGGTAAACTCTGCCCTTAATGCCAGCTCATTCACGGCTGTTTTGTCCCTGATTTATCCATTTTCTTAACAAAACCTCATTCTATTCTTGCGTATAGGCAATATGTCCCAGAGCTAAATTCCAATGTCGAGGTCTGCAAGCCAATAGGGTGATTCAGGAGAGAGTTTAGTATATTTTGCTATTCTTCCATTGAAGGAGGGCAGACTGCAGTCGTTTATTCTTTGGTCCATAGTGTTGGTTGCATGGCCGCAATCACACCACTGTTACTCATCTTTAATTTTACATTCATGAAGGAGATGTGCGCATTGGCCTGCAGTTGATGTTCTGATACAGTTGATGGTTACACCACCAGTGGCTTCGAGGAACGTCAAAGCCAGGAGATGCGACGTTTGGGTCTTGAATGAGGAGTTTATTCTGGACATCTGCGTTCTGCTGTGCTTGCTAGCAGCGTTCTTCTGGATCTGCGTGAGATTCTAGGATGTTGACAGCAGCATGATCATAGGATCGAGCCCTGAGTTGTTGGCATTGTTGAGGTCTTTGTTGATGGGTATGCTGGAGACCAAATTTAAGCCATTAACATATGGAAGCAGATTCTTGAATCTGATTGTGGAGCTTTGACAGTTAACCCCTCGTGTTGCACAGGATTTTTCCGGGTTCTCCGGTTTCCTCACACACGAAGCGAACACTCATTCACGGTATTGGCTAAACATCCCAATATCTGTAGTATAACCTGTCTTCTATCAAGATGCACTTGTGGCAATGTTGGTATTTTCATGGCACGTGGTGATTTACCCCTCCATAATTTATTGAGGTGTCTTTGGTCAAAGTCACAATTCAATAAAAAAAATCCATTGCACTGTGCATAGGATCTTTAGTGGCAGTAGAGAGTCTATGGACCATTCACATATGATATAAAGGGTGAATCATTTACAGATACCCTACTGATTTTTGATTAGTCTTTTCTCAACGGCTGTTTGGATGTTGTGAAAGAGATGGCTCCGTTTTAAAGGATATGAGTTTTTATTTCAGATTGGTGGGAGATGTGTGGAGGCATTGATATAAAATGCTGTTCTGTCTAATGTATATTTGTTATTTTAGTGGGGTATCTATTAATTGATCACCCTGTGTATAGTCACGTCTACGCTCGTACAAGCATCGGGATATTTATTTGTGCTCCGATGAAATTTGGAGACGAAACTTTTTAACTTTTAACATTTTCCAACTAAGATTACGCATTGGCTCAACTGGGGGAGGGAGGGCACAATAAACTGTAATTATTAAGATCATCCGACATGAGTGAAACTTGGGTGTGAAGTTGCATTGTCATGCGGGACGTACCCAATGGAAACCGGCCAAATCTTGACTTAAAGCTTTCGTGACTGCAGGAATTCATGTTCTTTGGGTCTTTCGGTAAAGCCACGTAGATAGAAAAAAATAATAAAAATTAAGATAATAACAATATCACAACGTTTCGATTGCAACACAAGCAATCGTCATCAGGTGAAGCAAAAGGGAACCGGCCACTTTGACCCGAGAGCCGCCTCTGCGCCTTTCCCGACAGAGTTGCCCACCGAGCCCCCCGGTTGCGCCTGGCACGGCTCCCTGTGTGCCTGACCCAGGTGCACCCGTTATTATTGCTGATTAAATACCTCCGAGGACTGACATTTTGGGAAACGTTTATGTAATTCGTGCATACGCGCCGCTTTATTTCCTTGTTCTACCCAGTTGCATTCAGAGGTTTGGAAGCATGCGCTGAAGCCTAACATTTTTTATTACGTGTTGTGTTATCCCAAAAATCGGTGAGGGTGGTGATCGTAAATTTGCATGAATGTTGGGTTTCTTGGTGCTTCCTTTATCGCAATTTGACAACAGGTGATGGGCTTTGGGCTCTTCCTCATGGACGGTGAGAAGAGCAACATCTACAAACTGGATGCCAAGAGAAGGATCAGTCTGAACAAGATTGACAAGTTCTTTAAGGTGCCTCCATACGAGACAAAGTTTCAGTTGAATGTCTCTACTTTTTTTGTTGTTGCAAATTATACCTCATCCCGGCTTCAATGGTGCCTTTGGCACTCTCATGATACATGGCTTGCAATCCCCCACCCTTCTGTCTTTGACTTGTCCAAACACGCACCGCTGAGCACTCAGGACTTATTTCTAGGCAACTTGCAGATGCCAGTAGGGCAGTAGATGCTTAGGCATTGGTTCCCTTGGTTACGTTTTTCTGGCCATAGCTGCTAGGCGTAGCACGGGGAAGGAAGCGGTGACGAGCTTTGGTGGTATCATTTTCATTGTCTGGGGTGACCTCTTGACCTTACTGGACGTATCCTCATCTTCCCCGCGCTAGCCAAACCGAGGGGTGGTGAATCTCGCTTTTCCTGGGCTACATGAAGTCTACCACTTCCGAATGGGCCACAAGTAATATATAGATAACTGTCACTACAAGCATCTTATAAGCACTAATTGGTCTTAGAGTGGGGAATATTTTTGCCTGGCAGTGACACTGTGTCTAAATATAGTGCTTGCACTCAGATACTGTGAGGACCTATGTGTAGATGAACACAATGTATGTTTTTGCATCCAATATATTGATTCATAATTTGGTCAAGTCGCGGAAGTAAAATGTGTGTTGTAAACCCTTCTCCACCCAACACACATCATTAAGTAATCACATCACAACCTCAATACAAAGTGTATTTACATTAATTTAAACTCCTACAACATTATTATAACATTACTAACCATCTATTATAAGGTTGGCCAGGACAGGGCAGACCCCACATGAGTGGGATAAATGCGTAAAAGAAGAAAGAAGAACCATCCATTATAACTAATTAACTTTGAATAACCTGTATCACAACATAAGTCTATATTCCATAAAATTAACATGTCCACATAATTTATACAGAGCAAACGTTGCATCAAAATCATCTTTGTCTATCCTGGAGAAATCCGATGAGCTATGAAGCTCTTTTTTTAACAGATGTGCAGTTTCAACAACAAACAGTGCAATGTATAGGAAAGGTAAGAACATCACTGTAAATAAATAAATTAACATGTTAAATACATTGAGTATATAAGTTAAAATTGTATAAGTACACCAATTCCCAAGCTTGGGCAAGGAAGAAAAACAATAGCAAGAACAGTCCCAGACCACACCAAGACAATGGTCCCCCAATAACATTCCACCTTAACATTGAACTCAAATGTATGCACATACATTAACCTCTAGTTATCGATTCCTGCCACTTCCTGCTTCCTTATGGGTGCACACTGATGACATCACACCACCTGTTTGAGGCCCCAAGAAGAGAGGACATTTTCACAATTCTGGAAACTGCCTGACGCCGGTTGTAACTACGAGCTAAACCATAATGAAGGTTTTTTTGGGTTAAGTCACAGAAATATAAATGTGTCGTTAAACCCGCCACCACCCGACACAGCCAAATTGTAAAGGTGGTCACGTAAGCAGAACATGACAATTCGTCACTAGTACAGCACACCGGTGTGTTAGAGAGTAAACCCGCAACATTTGCAATTCGAGTACGACGTTTTGCTGGTAATTACAACTAGCATCCTCAGGCGGACAGCCAAAAAAAACCTCTTATGGATAATATTGATTGCAAAAGCGTACATGTTATACGAACAAAACGTCAGACTACCCCATTGTTAAACGCTGTGGATGCTGTTGAACACACCAGTGTTGTTATAGGATCCCCCGAGGGTGTGTGTGTTGTTTAACTTCCTGCTTGGCCCTCGCTAAGGAAGAGGTTCATACATAATAGGAAGAGGTTCCCCAAACCTGGCATGACCCCAAATCCTTGCTGTCCATCTGCTTTACCCACAGCAACTGCAAGTGGTGCCACTATTTGGAGACATGCAGATCGAGCTGGCTCGCTACATCCAGACTAGTGCTCACTACGAGGAGAACAAGTCCAAGTACGGCCGCCAATTCCCCTAACGAGTCACTACTCCTGCTGCACTCTCTATTGGCTGCGGTTTGTGTTGTTCGTCCGCGTGTGCGAATGTGTTCGTCCGCGCGTGCACGTGTGTTCATTATGGATTCGTGCGCGTGTGTTCGTGCGCGTGTATGCATGTGTGTTCGTGCATGTGTATGCATGTGTGTTCGTGCATGTGTGTGTGTGTGCTTGGGGCAGGAAACTACCAAGCAGCAGGGATTGGCACTTTTGAACAAAATAATGAAGGGGGTGTGGGAGCGTGGCGGTGAGGTGTGGGAAGCTGTAAGTCCCAGGATACTGTGGGCTCGCCTATCCATCAACAAGAGGCGAGGAATGGTGGTAATGGTTGCTTTTGCCCCCACAGAAGATGAACACCAATGGAGGGATGCAGACGAGTCAGATGCCTTCTATAACCTCCTGTCACAGGTGCTAGCTAAAGTGGCCCCTCGGGATAGTCATCCTGTCAGGTGACTTTAATGCCCGAGTGGGTCATGACGCTGGCACCAGGGTTGGAGTGATCAGAAGGCATGGGCCAGATCAGCTCAGTAATAACGGAAAGAGGCTGCTAGACTTTTGTGCAGCCCATGGGGTTGTAGTTCCCAACACACTGTTCCGGTATCGGCGCATCCACACAACATCATGGATGCACGCCGGGTCCAAGCAAGAACATCTGCTGGACTATATAATTAGGACCAGCGGATGCAGGCCCATGTCCTTGACACCAGGACCTACCGTGGAGCTGATCTGCCCACTAACCATCAACTTGTCATCTGTAAGATGCGCCTGCCATTTTTCCACTTCAGTGGTGTGTGTCCATCTAGGACCCCATTCAAACCCACAGTGGCCTGGTCTCAGCTAGCTGAGGATAGTTTCAAGCAGGAATTTCAACATCGCTTGCAGCTGGAGTTAGCATCGTGCCCCCCTCCTTTCTGATGCTGAGGGGAAATGGGTGAGGTTCAAGACTCTGGCCCATGTAGCTGCAATGGCTGCATTGGGTATGCAGTCCACACCTCCCCAGAGACCCTGGCAGAAGGAGGAAGCGTTCTGGCAGGTTTAAAGAAAACGACAGGCCCACTCCCGTTGCCTACAAAATCCAACATCGGAGAATGAGGAGGCTGACCGCAGCCTTCTCTCAGAGATTCGGAGAGCCGTACGGCGCTGCAAGGATGAGTGGTGGGGGGCGGGTTTCTGAGGAGATGGAATTTGCCCTACATGACATCGTAACTACCTGGACCACAGGATGGGTTCCGTAGGATTGGGAGGATGCCCTGGTGGTCCCCCCTCTTTAAAAGGCGGGGCACTGATTGCAATAACTATATGGGCATCTCACTCTTCAGTGTGCCGGGAAAGGTCCTGGCAATAATTATTCAATATTGCCTTGCCAGGCATGCTGAGGAGCCCCAATGTGGTTTGAGGAAAGGGGGTCCTGCACAGATGCCATATTTTCTGTCCATCTGCTACAGCAGGGGTGTAGGGAATTCCAACAAGACCTACATCTCTGCTTTATTGACCTGGTCAAAGCCTATGATGCCATCAGTAGGCCTGGGCTGTGGGTTGTTCTTCGTGCTTTCGGAGTCCCTGACTCTGCTCACGATCATTAAGGACCTTCATCATGGTGAGGGGGCCCGGGTAAAACTGCATGGCGGGGAGTTGGAGCCATTCCCTGTTCACCTTGGAGTGCGACAGGGATGTCCTCTGGCTCCCACATTATTTAACATATTTTGACCACCTAGTTAGTGAAGCCTTCCATTGCTGTACCATAGGAATTTCCATCTGGTACAGATACAATGGGAGGCTGCTCGATGCTCGGGTGCGGTCTAGGGATGGTTCCCAATTAGTCAACCATGTTATGTATACTCTTTGGTTCTTTCGGTAAAGTTATGTAGGTAGAAAAATAAAATAAAAAATAATTTCGATTTAAAGCTTTCGTGACTGCAAGGATTCATCTTCTTTGGTTCTTTCGGTAAAGTCACGTAGAATGAGAATAAATTAAGAAATTGACAGTCTCGTCCCCTTCACCTGATGAAGGCCGCTTGTGTTGTGGCCGAAACGTCGTGAGAATATTATTGTTATTTTATTTTATTAATTTATTATTTTATTCTCATTCTACGTGACTTTACGGAAAGAACCAAAGAAGAAAAAATAATTTATCACGACGTTTCGATCGCAACACAAGCGGTCGTCCTCAGGCGGAAAAAATAATCCAGCAGTGGAACTGCTGAACCAGGAAGAAACGGCGAGAGAGCTGTTACCACATATATAACGTCTTGTTGTAACATCTCTCGCTGTGTTTCTTCCTGGTTCAGCAGTTCCACTGCTGGATTATTTTTTCCGCCTGAAGACGACCGCTTGTGTTGTGATCGAAACGTCGTGATATATTAGTTTTTATTTTATTAAATTTTTCTACCTACGTGACTTTACCGAAAGAACCAAACAGTGAATTCCTGCAGTCACGAAAGCTTCAAATCAAGATCATGTTATGTATGGCGATGATCTGGTAATTGCTGCTCACTCAGAGGAGTTGGAGGCGCTGCTGCTGAACCTGGAGCGTGCCACTAAGAGGTGGGGCCTTACCATCAGCCCCACCAAAACTAAGGACCTGCCTGGGTATTTTGTACCATCGGACACTCCACCCCCACAACTCCCAATTGGTGATGGGGCAGTTATGGAGAGAGTGGAGAGCTTCCCATACCTGGGCAGTGTGCTCATGAGCGGCTCCGTTTTGACAGCAGAGGTCTCCGAATCAGTCGAGCAGCATTATCTTTTCATCGATTGCGCAATGCTGTGTGGAAGCTACCTAGTCTGTTGCTCCACACGAAGCTTCAGGTCTTCTCGGCCACGGTCATTCCCTCCCTTCTCTACGCTTGCGAAACATGAACCCCCCTAATGGAACAATTTCGCCAGTTAGAAACATTTAGGCTGGCCTGTCTACGATCCATCCTGGGTTTAACCAGGCTGGATTGTGTGAGGCGCTCACAAATCCTTGAAAGATCTGGACAAAGTCCCATCGTTGAGCTCCTCCAGCAGGCAAGGCTGTGTTGGCTGGGCCATATAGCCCGCATGCCCAGCCACCGCATGCCTAAACAGCTTTTGTTCGGCCGGATCTAGGGAGCGAAACGGGCGCGGCACGGGCTAGAGGAGAGATGGAGTGATGTGGTACAGGAGGATGTGGAGCTGAGTGGACTTGCCAATGACTGGTACCAGCGGTGTCAAGATCGGCCTCTGTGGAGGGTGGAGGAGGCTCGTGAAGGACGCTACTGGGCAGTTGGAGGCAGTCACCCTCCAACAACGAAGGGTGGAGGATCGATGCTCACAACAACGAGCGGAGCGCCGGGTGGCTAAAGCACAGCAAGTTGGAACAGTAGGGGGCACAGGTGGTGCATCAGCCAGTCGTCTTAGTCAGTCGACCTCTGGCATCTGGGTCTGCCCCATGACCTCCTGCCAGCGGGCGTTCGACACTTCACATGGCCTCAAGGTGCACATAGCCTGGCACAAGCGTCGTGGTGACCTCACCGCCACTTCGTGGCGAATGGCGGTTGTTGTTATTGTGTATAGGGAGTGGTAGTGTAGTGGTTAGCGCTACGAACCCGGCAACTCGAGTTCAATTCCCCCTCACGGCCAACACCAGCAGTGACGATTATCTAAACCGTTCCTAGGCCTCCCCTATGTCGACTCAGCCTAAAATGAATGTGTAAACATCGCTATTAGGGAGTCAAAGGCGGCCGGGCTTGGTTGCTGGCTACTCACCCCCTCGCTAACAGCACTTGCCCCTACAGTCTACTAAGGCTACATTGGGGAATCTTTGTGTTTGTCTTGTCTTGTTTGTGCGTGTGTGTTTGTGTGCGTGTGTTCGTGTGCGTGTGTTCGTGCGTGCATGTTTGTGGGCGTGTGTGTGCTTGTGTTTGTGTGTGCATGTGTGTTTGTGTGTGTGCACGTATGTGTGTGTTTGTGCATGTGTTTGTGGAGAGCGGTAGTGGAGTGGATAGCATGCTGTGCTATGAACCCGGCAACCCGAGTTCGATTCCCGCTCACGGCCAACACCAGTGGCGATTATTGAACCGGTCCTGGGCCTCGCCGAGGTCGACTCAGCCTCAAATGTGTTCCTGGTGTGGTGTGTAAACAATGCCACTGGGGAGACAAAGGCGGTCTGGCGTGGTGCTGGCCACCCACTCGTATGCTGTTCCGGCCTTAATAGTTGCTCACTAGCATCACTTGCCTCAACATTCTGTTAAGGCTATACGGGGGATCTTTGTCTAGGTTGACTCAGCCTTCGATGAGTACCGAGTGCTTAGAGTAAAACGTCAGCATTGGGGAGATAAAGGTGGCCGGGCATGGTGTTAGCCACTCCCCGATGTTTATCGTGTGTGCCGTAGCAACCTTACTACGTGCTCGCTATTGTCACTTGTCCCAATGGTCAGGGTAGATTACGCGGGGAATTGTCTACCCCTTATCCACTGGCACAACCGAGCCATGCCAGAACCAAATGGTGATACGTTGATCTCGCAAAACAGTATACCGACTCGTTCACTGTGTGTGACGTCGGTGGAACGGAAGTTCTGCAGTGGAAAAACCACTTGGCGCTTGCGGGGCCATTGTGCGGTGGAAATGACGCGTCTGTGTTTGTTGTGTCGGAACGCAAAGGTGGACCTGCACCTCGCAGAGCAGCAGCCCCCAGTACAACATCTGTGAGCAGATGGGTCAAATTCGCGACGATCACATCCGCTTCACGTCCGAGCTGGCCCGACACAGCAACAGCGAGGTCAGCCCTGGCAAACCGTTGCCACAACCCTTCTTGACCAGTTTGCTTTGGATCAAATTATTTTATATATTTGGTATTCGAACCATTCTTATAGTGCAAGTCTGACGGCCAGAATATACACCTAATTTGAGAGCCAAACATCACACCTCCTTGCTTTGGCATTTGGTGTACCATCAACCGCATCACCAAACTAAGCAATCTTTATTTTACCAGGTAAGGCGCACTGAGCTATGCAGCTCTTTTTCGGAACCAACCTGGCCACAAATTATAGCTCAACGAAGTGGCTTATCATGTGCAAATTTAGAGCAACCAAATACTCTAAACAGGTCAATGCACACATCTCCCTTAGCAATTGAATATTACAGACGAGCCATAGTAGTGCGATTGTTGGCCATGCCACCAGTACTATGGACCATTATAATAGACCACTGTTTCATTACAGTAAAGAGTGCTCCTTCAATGGAGGAATAGCACAACTACACAGATTATTTCCTGAAGCCCTCTCTTGGCTATCACACCTCTTTTGATATTTATCTCCTCAACATGTTGCCATACGCAAGAATAGAACAGCGCAAGGCTATCATGAAGGTACTACATTTCCTATAGTCCGCCACGGTTGAACAGCAGGAGGCAACGTTGCTTTGCCTCATCCCAGTTGAAGACTTTTGCAGGTACAGGCGACCTCCACACCTATGACCTAATTGGTTCCTTGACGACGGTTGTTGAGCCATCGCAAGTCGAACCCTTATTTCCCATAGGTGCAATGTTGTAAATTGGGGTTCCGTTCCTGGAATCCCATTAACATATCATAAAATATAAAAATTGACCACGAAAATAAATGAAAATAACCCTAACAAGCATTTATTGTAACTTAACTTTTCCAGACATTTATTAATTAAAAACGAACACATTTGAAAATCCTTAAGTACTTTTTTGCACGTGCATCACATTTCCTCTTCTCAGACGTAGTGAAAGGTGACATTTTTTCATCATTTACGAAAAGTGAAGGACATTGCAAAAGAGAAGGGTTCGCTCTCGATGCAGCTGCAGACTACCGGGCTATACTATACATATCCATTCGGCAGAAGAGCAAAGCAGCGCCATCTGGCGACGAGTGTGTGCATGACATGCGCCGACTCGTCGCCAATCGACTCGGCATTGGTAGCAGTCGTTAGGCTGTCGTAGATACGAGTTTGGTCATTACTGTTGGGGTCTTACAATAAGAAAGGTCATTAAAGAGGGGGGTAGCTAGCCCTCGTAAGTCGGGGGTTGCCTGTACGTTGTGCGTAGACAATCCAGAGAATGTGGAGCCATTGAGCTTGGCGTGGATTCTGCTGCTGCTCTCTTCCTGGCAGGTGGTGAAGGCATCGGGTCAGGACAGCCATAAGACGGACGAGCAGCATCGTGAGCTGTGCGACCTGGCTTTGCGTGGCCTCCAGCTGCTGTCCAAGTGGAGTGCCCACGTCATGGAAGTGGTGGGCACCCATGCTCGGACGAACTGTGCCCGGGTTAAAGTGCGGGGGGTGGACTCCGTGGCCTGCGGGCCATGACTTTTACTGTCGCACGGCCTGCCTCTCCACTCCAAAAATGTCCCGCGAAGGATTTTTGTCAGTCACTGCAAGTTATAATCAAAATCTTTGTTTAGATTGGAGGAGGACTTTGATTAACTATAAAGCTCTTTTTCACAGATGTCCAGTAAGGGTGGGTCAGCAAGTTACACAAACAACCAAAAATACTAAAAATTATGGGAGTGCAAAATAAAAAAAAGGTTAACAAGTCACTAAAAAAATATTCAAACTGGAGTATATAAGTCCGATTTATCAACACTACATACAAGCTTGGGCAAGGCAGCAACACAACAACAGTCCCAGACCACACCAAGACAACAACAACAGTCGCAGACCACACCAAGACAAAAACAACAGTCCCAGACTACACCAAAACAACATCAGTCCCAGACCACACCAAGACAAAAACAACAGCCCCTCCATAGAAAATGACAGTCCTGATAACACTCGCTTCTAAGATATGAGGGCATTGCTTTCACATGTTGAATCAACAATCACCGTTCAATAAGAAAGGCAAATTATTGTTGTGAATAAACTGGGTTTTTAATTGTTGCGAGTTGATGGTCTTATAGTGCGCCTTTTGGCGTCCTCTGGTCTAACACTGTTTGAGACTAGGCTCAAAAGAAAGCTGTCTGGTGTGGACCAATCAGTTTCAAAGACAATGCATATATTATCAAAGTACGTTTTTTGTTTGCATTCTCACCACAAGTATTGTGGTTAATGCAGACATGATTCCTTGTAAAAGGTTTCAGTTTGGTGTTTTAACATCTTAACACAACTGTTTTGTTACCAGAGAAAAGGGGAAAACCTATTTTCATATTGATTGTCTTAGTCCGGTTACTGATGTACGACATGTACAAAAATCATAATAAACTAGTTAATCAACTGAATCACCTATTTCGGCTCTCAGAATAAACTTTTGTTTGCTATACGATGAACACTTTTTATGAGGCACATAAAAGGTGTGGCCTTGGTGTGAAGAGAAGAGTAGGTGCTGTGATGCCATCTTCCAGGACCATTCACTGTCAGAGCAGGGCGTGTGCGCGCTGTTGTTCCACGGCCATCTGGAAAATAAATCTCTCGATCGTTGCCTCACCCCCGCAGTATTCCTGGAAGCTGGTGCATCCCACGGATAAGTTCTCCAACAAGGAGTGTCCGGACAACGCGGAGGAGTACGAGAGGGCCACACGCTACAACTACAACTCCGAGGAGAAGTTTGCGCTTGTCGAGGTGAAATCGGTTGTCGTGTGTCCGGGGTCTGTTCATGGAGAAAGTCGTTCCAGAATGTGGTGAAAAGACTGAACTGCACGTGGGGCAGCTTGGGAGAGTGGTGGAGGAACCGGTGGGAGAACACAAACGTCTCAATTAAAGACACAAGTGCTTGCCACAAATGAACCACAATACCTCGCTGATCTCTTCAAGGAACATAAACCATCACGTGAACTTTGGTCATCCTCGCAGCGGCGGATTTTTGGCTATTCATTGAACAAAGATGGTCACTGCATTGCGCACTTTCAGATGGTTCGCCAAACGCTGCTCCGAGGATGACCAGAGTTTGCGTGATGGTTAACGCTCCTTGACAAGATCAGCAAGGTTTTGTGGTTCATTTGTGGCAATCACTTTGTGTGTAATGAGTGTGACCTTATCTATTCGTTGATCAACCAGAAGCCAATGTAGCTCAGCGAGCACTGGATGGACATTTTTGGAGCTCAAGTACAGTGAGTTGAGGCTCAGTCCACGTACCAATGAATGTATAAAGGAACCTTCATCTTAAATTTTGCAAAATTTCAGCTCTAAGAAGAAAATGTTTGATATGAATGTCATGTGACGAACATTATGTCAGTGGCAGAGCAGGTTGACCAGAGGTCACTGGAAGGTATTTCATAAGCAGCTCTGTGATATCCGCTTCCGCAGGTCGTTCTCATCCTCCATAGGATCACACTGTGCTATGTGCGACTACTGAATGGATATGCGAGCGTGTGCCGATGTTGTCGCGTTCCCTAATCACAACCCCCTTCCCAGGTGATAGCGATGGTGAAGGGCCTGCAGGATCTGATGGGCCGCATGGAAAGCGTCTTCAACCAGGCCATTCGGCACACGGTCTACGCCAAGATACAGAACTTCGCCAAGCTCACCCTGCGTGAGCCGCTGCGCCAGGCCATTAAAAAGAAGAAGAATGTCGTCATCAGGTGCGTGTATGCCTGTGCGCTCGCAGGATAACCGAGACTTTGCTAGCTACCACGAAAATGGAGTTGCTGTTGTATACAGTGAGGGAAAAAAGTATTTGATCCCCTGCTGATTTTGTACGTTTGCCCACTGACAAAAGAAATGATCAGTCTATAATTTTAATGGTAGGTTTATTTGAACAGTGAGAGACAGAATAACAACAAAAAAATCCAAAAAAACGCATGTCAAAAATGTTATAAATTGATTTGCATTTTAATGAGGGAAATAAGTATTTGACCCCTCTGCAAAACATGACTTAGTACTTGGTGGCAAAACCCTTGTTGGCAATCACAGAGGTCAGACGTTTCTTGTAGTTGGCCACCAGGTTTGCACACATCTCAGGAGGGATTTTGTCCCACTCCTCTTTGCAGATCTTCTCCAAGTCATTAAGGTTTCGAGACTGACGTTTGGCAACTCGAACCTTCAGCTCCCTCAACAGATTTTCTATGGGATTAAGGTCTGGAGACTGGCTAGGCCACTCCAGGACCTTAATGTGCTTCTTCTTGAGCCACTCCTTTGTTTCCTTGGCCGTGTGTTTTGGGTCATTGTCATGCTGGAATACCCATCCACGACCCATTTTCAATGCCCTAGCTGAGGGAAGGAGGTTCTCACCCAAGATTTGACGGTACATGGCCCCGTCCATCATCCCTTTGATGCAGTGAAGTTGTCATGCCCCCTTAGAAAAACACCCCCAAATATTCATATCAATTTTGGAAAAAGGCCTATATATACAACATTGTGATTTCATATTTAACGATACGATACAGCATTAATGATTAATGTCCACCTAACATGTCCTTTTTAATAAATGACGATTATTGGGTGGTCGCTTTGCCGAACGGTAGCGCTTTGGTCGCTTACTGTAGGGGACCGAGTAGGCCATGCTTGTTGGCGCCATAGTCCAAATTAGAAAAATTACCCCCAAATTTCTTAGTGGGGAAAATATATGGCAACATCACCCCTTACCGCAACGCATAATAGCAAGTGGACTATTGGAGGCATTGTGGTTTAACACAGGTCTTTGTGTAGGGCTAGATGAATAGCATATGAAAACTAAACTATCAAACTTTTTATTTTACCAGGTAAGGCCCGCTGAGCAATATAGCTCTCTTTTAGATATGACCTGGCCACATGATAACTCAACGAAGTGGATTATCACGTGGAAATTTATAGCAGACAAATACTCTTAAAAGGACGTTTCTAAATGTGGAGGGAAAAACCGGAGGACCCTAAGAAAAATGCACGTGACCACGAAGAGAACATGCAATCTCCAAATATACAGGCATCAAGGTCGGGATCGAACCCACAACCTCCTGCAAATCAGGCGAGGTAGTTAACATCTCGCCAACGTGGTGCCTCAGAAAAGCCTATGTCTATATGGGATAGCCCAGCCAGGCACTTCCAATTAGCATGGTTGGCTGCGTGCGGTGCAAAAGAAAATCACCATTACACAGGCTGTGGTGCCTATGCACGCTTGCAATTCGGCACTTTGGAGGCAGTGAGGGTTGGTGTATTACACAAATGTGTAAAATCGCTGAGCAGATCGATGCTTGAGAGTAGAGTCTCGCTGCTGTGAGCAATCAGAAGTGCAATTGCTCGCAACTGGTTGCAGAGACATCCACCTGTAAGCGACTCGATTGGATGCAACCAACCGGGCATCCATTCCCCATGTGCAGCGTGCTGCAGGCGATCCGCAAGACGTGCTGCGACTGGGAGGCCGAACCGGCCAACGACCCCTGCCTCAAGGGAGAGAAGGACCCCAAGAGCGGCTTTGAGATCAAAGTGGCGCACAGGGCAGTGGGCCCTTCCAGCACCCAGGTGGGGGGTGGCGGTGGCGCACGCATCAACACACGCACCAAGCCGCAAGTAGCTCCCGTGCCTTTCGCTCGTCGTGTTCCGCCTGCCAGACCCGTCAACCGTCCGCTTAACCTCGTTGGCCTACATATCGCCGTGTTGCTGCGCTCAGACAGGTTTTGGTGGTCGTCGTGAAGCCACCCCTCACCCTTCCACAACCTCCGCTAAAACCCAAAAACCATTGGGTAAGAGTTGGGCCGAAGGAGTGCAGTGGTGGGGCACAGGAAGAAGGTGGGGCCGAAGGAGAATTGGGTGGGGCCTAAAGAGGAAGGGTTGGGGCCTACAGAGGTAAAAAATTCCAGTTCATTTAAAAGTCATGAAAGCAGAGAACCAAATCTGTGCTGCAGCAGCATGGCTTTCATGCCACAGATGTAGCAACAGGCCAACATAGCATATATAGTAGTCCCTCTGTTAACAGTGACATCGGTTAACGGTATTTCGGTGAAAGAGAAAATTTGTTCGGCACTAGACCTAACTTGGAAGACCACGCATTGGCATAGGTTTTGGATTGAGCCATCGCAGCCACCCTGCTAGACACTGCATGTGTGTTACCCCTGAACACACACACTGTCCGCTTCACAGTGCACTTTATTCATGCTGTGTGTGTTACCCCTGAACACACACGCTGTCTACTTGTTTACAGAGTAATGGCGGTTTGCAGGCCAGTGCTGCATTCACCTTGTGTTGCACAAGGGACAGCTGTCAAAGGGGGTCCCCTAGGCTAAACTTATTAAGGGTGGCTGTGAAAGCCTGCGTGTACTAATAGCATTGATTTGAATTATATTACATTTTTGGGTTAGGCCACAACGAAGCGCCCTAACGAAATGTGCGTCATGAAGAAAGCCCTCCACTACCCGACACAGTTAATATTTAGATGTGAGAATTATATTTATTTTATTATGTTTTATTTTTATTATTTTATTTCCATTCTACGTGACTTTCCCGAAAGAACCAAGCAGACAGTTATTATTGTTTCAGCTCACTCTCCAACAAGTCCAAGACCGATCCTCAAAACGAATTCAGCAATTATCTACGGCGCTTCATTTGAAACTACGTCAATCGCCATCAAAGTCAGACTCGCCATCAAGGAGAGTGAATTCCTGGATTGTCATTCAGATCATTATGTGGCCTAACGCAAAAATAGATTGTGTAATATTGGCTGTGAAATCTGCAATGTGTTAAGTTGATGTTGTTATTGCTGTGTTGGCTGCAGCTGTACATGGTGCGTACCATGCTGGAGTCGCTGGTGGCCGACAAGAGCGGCGCGAAGAAGACTCTGCGCAGCACCCTGGAGGGACCGTTCATCCTCGCCATTGAGGAGTTCCATCGCAGCTCCTTCTTTTACCCCCACCTCCTCAACTTTGGGGGTGCGAGCGCACACCCATTCACCATTATGGCAGCGGCAGCGGGGTTATCCGATTATTTGAGTAACCATTTACTCGACCACTCAAATCATTGGATAACAAGAAGATAGTTGGGGAAATACACAATCTCCTCATCTGGATTGCAAGTCCAGTGTGCTAACCATTGCACCGCGGCAGCGTCCCGAAGCTGGGTGCTGCTGGCTTGCGCCACATTCTCTGCTTTACAATCAGTCATCGCATAGCAGAGGGTCGGTGCGGGAAATGTGTGACCTCTTGCGACCACATTTGCAAAAACTGCTCTTGGTGCCATGTCGGTGTCTCGAGTGATTTGTTTGTTACACGGATCACGGGGGATAACCGCGGGGGGTGGCGCCATTCTTTAGAGACTTGTCCATACTGCAGTCAACTGCCATACTCAAGCTCGCAACACTTCTGTCTGCTTCTTCCTTTCCACCGTTCGACTTTGGAATTTACTCTCATTGCCTCTCTACCTTGCTTGCGACCTTGCTTGCGTCCAAAAATGCATGAATGCTTATCTATCGTAACATTAAAATAGTGCTTTTGGTTGCTGGCCGTTTGGAGTTTTGGGCCTTGGAGCCTGTGCACAAAAATGGTAAAATAAATTTAAAAAGATTATAAGATGCACACAAAACTATTGCTTTAAGGTACAGGAAACAAAGGTGCATCTTACAGTCGGAGAATACAGTGGGAGCCCACTCGGTCCACCTATAAATGACGATGTTGTTACCACACAGAGGCCCTGCAGCAGTGCTGTGACCTCTCCCAGCTGTGGTTCCGTGAGTTCTTCCTGGAGCTCACCATGGGCAAGAGGATCCAGTTCCCCATCGAGATGTCCATGCCGTGGATTCTCACGGACCACATCCTCGAGACCAAGGAGCAGTCCATGATGGAGTGAGTTGATTGCGAACGCGCACGGCCGAAGGCAGAGAGGGGGGGTTCAGGCCCAGTGCACCACTAAGAGGAGAGCGTAAGGTTCGCAGCGAAGTGTGTTAAAGTGGTTGCAGGAGCAACTGCTTGCCTGTGAATTTGCAGTCTGGCATTGAACTATTAAGGGTCAAAATTATGAAGGCGCCAGTTTTCGCACGGAGGGTCATGGTGGTCGCAGAGTTGGAGTTAATGCTGCCTTCGGGGCTAGATATTTTACTGGTCAGGGTAATAATCGCCCCATGATAACAAAGACGCCCATGTCCAAATCGCAAGGAATAAGCCTGATCTTGTCGGATGTCAGGAGCTTGTGTGTGTCCCGGTATACGGAACTCTGTGTTGAGCAACAAAAGTGACTCTTGAAGAAAGCGGAATTTGCGGTGTACATCTATGCTCCCCACCTGTTCCAACCCGCACTGACCAGCAAGGTGAATTGTCAACCTCCATGCAGACCCACGCGACAAGAGAGGCGCCCGCATCCAGAAGTGGATTGCTAAAGCGCTCTACTTATGCGTTTGCGTACAAAGGCCCGAGGCGTGCTATTGTGTCCACACTGACTACCTCCGCCCCTGTTTCCTAAACGTAATACCTTGATGGGCCTTCTCTTGTTGCAGGTACGTCCTGTATCCGTTGGACCTGTATAACGACAGCGCTTACTACGCCCTCACCAAGTTCAAGAAACAATTCCTCTACGATGAAATTGAAGCGGAGGTAAAAATCCATAACTCGCATTCACTCACACAAAAACATGGACAAAGATTTCCTGTATAGGCTACATAGACCGTGAGGGCAAGTGGTGTTAGCGAGCACCTGCTGAGGCTGTCACGGTGCGTGAGTGGGTGTTGTGGCCAGCCCTGTAATAGGTGCTCGTTGAAGGCCGATTTGACCCAGGGGAGGCTCAGAACTGGTTGGGATATCACTCGTCACTGATGTTCTGATAATCTGCCAACGGATGATTTGAGAGTTGACTGTGCAAAGCTTCGTAGGTCAGCCCGGAGCGCTACGTTCACGGGAGCAGATGGAGACTGCCGCTGTGCCGTGAATCACTTGTTCTGTGCACAAATTAAAATCGCAGCCAAATGGTGTTTTGGGTTGAGAATTCCTTTACCTGACTAATCAGCCCATACAACCTGGCACATGGTTCAGAAAACAGAACAACTGAAGAATCCACAAAGAAGTGCGGAGACATGCTTGGCAATGCATTGATGGACAGAAAATGGAACGCGTGGATGAAGAGAGCATACGTAGGTCACAGACACGGCTGTAGCCATTCATGAGAATGTACAGGGGCTTGGTTTCCACACGTCGCTGGGAGGGACGATCACTAACAGTCCAGAATAACGAGAGGAGTTGCAACCAAAAATGGAACGCATCCAGGAGGATGTACTTCCAAGGAGATGGAGCAATGAAATCAGCTCATGTGCTGGGTGGATTGTTTAATTGCAGAATCTATTTAACTAAACTATTAAATTATTTATATCTTACCATGCCAAGCCGAGTGAGCTATATAGCCCTTACTCAGAAGTGACCTAGCCAGAAAATACATCTTGTGGAAATGGCTTATCATGTGGAAATGTATACCAGCCAAATTTACTCTAATTCGTGAGAGATGTTGGCTGGTTAGGGAGGCATGCATCCAGCAATAGAATGACCATGGCTGATGATGTTGTTGGTGGTGATGACGACACATTACACGTACACAGGTGATGATAGGACGACAGCAAACGTGACCCGGTACGGTTTGCTCCCTTGTGGACCCCCCCTCCCCGCTGCTCTCCTGCTACCCCCCCCCCCCAGGTGAATCTGTGCTTTGATCAGTTTGTGTACAAGCTGTCAGACCAAATCTTCACCTACTACAAGGCGCAGGCTGGAAGGTGAGGTCATGACGCACGCAGCTACTCGCGCACCGCCCCTGTTTTCAGCGCTCCATGCTCTATGCAAGGGTTGGGTTGCTCGGCACACAGGTTTCCTTAACAAAATCTCGCTCTTTCCTTGAAGGCCATGTTTAGCTTGGAATCATACGTGATTGCAGGACAATGTGTTTTATTTTATTTAAAACCTCACTGAGCCTCGAGACTCCTTTTGAGGAGGGTCCTGTCACAGTTTTGCAGGAGGGTGGGCGGGGGAGTGATCATTCTATGCATAATCCCAAATCTGTTATTTGCAGGGCATATTTATCATTCGAATATTTGGCCAATAATATATTAGTTTTATATTTATAATATATATTAGTTGTATATTATGTGTTTTTTTAGCAGATGAAGGAAACCGGATAACCCGGATAAAATCCCATACGGAACATACAAACTCCATAAAGACTAAGATCCCCCGTATAAATCTTGACTTAAAGCTTTCGTGACTGCAGGAATTCATATTATTGGGTCTTTTGGTAAAGTCACGTAGATAGGTTCAAATAAAATTACAAAAAAATTACAAAAAACTACAACGTTTTGATCGCAACGCAAGCGGGTCGTCTTCAGGAAAAGGGGGGTTAGCTTCCAAGGCAAACTCTTTATAAGGGTTTGAAATGGGCGTAGCTATACCAAAATTAAAAGAGATCCCACCAACCGTCTCGTTATGAAAACCAACAATATCACTGATTCGACATCTTTGATCAAACCAACCAAGTGGTTTTCCTTAAAACCCTCTGCTGCTAGACCACCCAGATTGTATGGCTTACCAAAAATGCATAAAGAAGGGACACACCTTCGTCCTATCGTCTCCCCCATTGGCTCACCCACCTACAAACTGCACTCAACTCGGCTCACTTGGTATCGTTAATTAAGGACATCTCACTATCTCCAGGTGATTTGCTCGTTAGTTTCGATGTGGCCTCTTTGTTTACCAAAGTTCCTTTGCTTGACACCATTGCAATCATTGAAGATTTGGTCCAACAAGGACTGAATGCTGATGTACCGGCTCTGGTGAGACACTGCCTCACCAACACTTACTTCACCTGGAATGGAACATTCTACAAACAAGATGTACCCCAATGGGTTCTCTCTTATCTCCAGTTGTAGCCAATGTTTTCATGGAGAAATTTGAGACAGATGCCATCCAGGCATCCACTCTACGTCTGTCCTTGTGGAAGAGGTACGTAGATGAGACATTCGTCATCTGGCCACATGGCTGACCAGCTCTGAACCAATTCCTCAACCACATCAATTCCATACACCCAGCCATCAAATTCACCATGAAGGTGGAAAAGGATGGCAAGTTACCATTCTTGAATGTTTTAATCGAAAAGAGACCAGATGGCTCAATGGGACACTGTCTACAGGAAAGCCACCCATATGGATGCCTACCTAAAACCTGACTCCCACCACCATCCATCCCAGAAGAATTCCCTCATCAAAACTCTACACCATGGTGCTTGATGTATTTCCGACCGTCATCACCTAGCCAGGTGAACTGGAACACATACACAAAGCCCTCAAGAAAAATGGATATTCAGACTACACAATCCGTAAAGCTATCACCCCAACCGTTGGGAAAGAACCATCTGAGGACCCAATCAAAACCATCACCTTGCCATACATAGCAGGGGTCACTAAAAATATTTCCAAAATCATGAGCAAACACAAGATCCAGGTTCGATTTAACACAGTACATAAAATTCGTGATCTGATCCCATCTGTAAAGGATGTGATCCCTGACATGCAGTACCCCGGCGTCTACAAACTAAGCTGTGTCTGCGGCAGTAGTTACATTGGGGAAACTAAGCGACATGTCTCGGACCGTGTTCGTGAACATAAGGCAGATCTGAAGCACGGTAGGACCAATACCTCGGCCGTGGCTGATCATTGTTTTAATGCGGTGGGCTCTCGAAATAGATTTCTCTAAGACTTTGCAAGCCCACTGGCTATCAAAAAAGAATCGTTCATGAAGCCATCCATATATATAGACACAGACACAATTTAAACCGAGAAGATGGGTACAAATTGAGCAACCATTGGAAGGACGTTATCAACCAGTTTAAGTCATAATTGGCTATGATGTTCCCATCCTACCACCCTCCGTTATTAGTTGTGCTTTACGCCCATTTCACACTTGGCTTTTACAGTCATTTCGCCCACCGACCCCTTGGTTGCAGCTCTGCGATCTACCATTAACATGCTAATCTCTCTTTAACATGCTAATTTTTACCTGGCAGCCCTTTGATTGGTGGAAAACCAACCACCGTCGGGTTGGCTGCCCACCACTTACATTATCATTGGCCGCTGACATTTGGGCTATGCCCATTTCTAACCCTTATAAACAGTTTGTCTTGGAAGCTAACCCCCCTTTTCCTCAAGACGACCGCTTGGGTTGCCATCGAAACGTCGTAGTTTTCTGTTATTTTTTGTTATTTTCTTTGAAACTATCTACGTGACTTTACCGAAAGACCCAAGAATAGGAATCCCCCGTATATCCTGAACAGACTGTTGGGGCAAGTGCTGTTAGCGAGCACCTATGAAGGCGGCACGGCACACGAGGGGGTGGGTGGCCAGCACCATGCCCGGCCGCCTTTGTGTCCTTAGTGACCATGTATAAAACTGCACCAGTTACTAATTTTAGGCTGAGTCGACCTAGGGGATTCCCATGACTGTTTCAGATAATCGTCACTGGTATTGGTGGCTGGGAGCGGGAATCGAACTCGAGTCGCTGGGTTCGTAGCGCAGCGTAGCACTAACCGCTACACTACCGCTCCCCGCACACACTGTACACTCACTCACACCCGCACACTCGCACTGCACAGTAATGCACTTGAGTCAGGAATCGAACCCAGACAATTTCTGCCGCGAGGCGCAGGGGTCACCACTGCGCCACCCGTCGTTGCAATGACTTTACGCCCGCTATCCCGTGTGCAGTCTGCTGCTGGACAAGAGGCTGCAGACGGAGCTCAAAAACCTTGGGGTGTCGATCCCTCACCCCCCCTCCAACCGGTACGAGACTCTGCTCAAGCAAAGGCATGTGCAGGTGAGGTTTCCACGCCCGTTACCTTGGGCGTGTGCGGGAGCGTCTGTCGTGTGACGCCGATTGCAAATAGATTCATATGTAACGCATTTAGACAGTTGCCTGTGCTCAACTCTCCATCGAGTGCCGGCGCTGTGGTTAGCGTGCTGCGGACCCTGTAAACGGAATTGAATGCATGTTCATGGCTAATTTCAGCGGTGTAGTGATATCTGAACTGGCTAGAGGAGCCCACTTCACCAAGCTGCACTGACCAGCATGGTGAAGTATGTTAAAAACAACCACCTTGACTGACGCGGCGTGAGAAGGCCTTCAAGCATTCGTTCGTTTCTCAATCCGCTTGTCCTGGTGAGGGCCGCAGCGCCAGCATGCTGAGTAGGGCGGTCCAGACCTCCTTAGCAACATACTCTAGCGCTTCCTGGGGAATTCCCAGGCCTTCCGAGGCCAGCCGAGCGATATAGTCCCACCAGTGTGTCCTGGACTGGCCCCGGGGTCTTTGCCCAGTGGGACGTGTCTGGTAGCGTTCCAGGGGGAGTCTATCGGGGGGCATCCTTACAAGGTGCCCGAACCACTTCAACTGGCGTTGGACGCTAGCCTTCAAGCGGTGGATTGAAAAGACTGTCATACATCCTAGTACTTGCATATGAGGGGATTTCATTTCTTCGTATCCAAGACCGACGTACTCATGGGCACATTCCCTTTGTCGTCATTACATCTCCGCAACTCGAACTATTGCGCACTTTTTCACCGCGGCCTCATTATAGCTGTGCGCTGTAGGCACGGTGCGAGTGCCAGATGCTTACTCGCCGTTACTCTGCTTGTCCGTCCATCCTTACTTGGCGGTGTTTTTGTATTCCTGGTTGCAGCTGCTCGGCCGTTCCATCGACCTGAACCGGCTCATCACGCAGCGCATCTCGGCTGGAGTCTACCGCTCCCTAGAGCTTGCCATCAACCGCTTTGACAGCGAGGACCTTACCTCGGTTGTGGTGAGTACGACCTCCCCGTCTCCCGTTCAGAAAATTAGTAATGCTGATAATATCGATGCCTGTCATATTTAAGAGTAGTTAACAGACTCAAAGTCCAGAGTGCTGGATGCTCGGTTCAAATGAAGATTTTGGCCTGAAGTGACTAAATTGGGCTCCCAAGTGTAGCGAGTGAACGTTCTTAGCCCAGTCACCAATGACTGCTAAAAACGACCTTCAATTTGGTTCCGCGCTTAATTTGTTAAAATTCGAGCTCCGATTTTTTATACAATGGCGGTCATGTGATGGACATTGCTCTCAGTGCCAGGACGTCGCTATCAATGCTGCGTTTCACGGAACCCTCGTCATTGTCATTGGCTTGTAGGAGCTGGAGGGGCTGCTGGACGTGAACCAGCTGACGCACAAGCTGCTCAGCAAGCACCTGACGCTAGACGGCTTCGACGCCATGCTGCGTGAGGCCAACCATAACGTGTCGGCTCCGTACGGCCGCATCACCCTGCACGTTTTCTGGGAGCTCAACTACGACTTCCTGCCCAACTACTGCTACAATGGCTCCACACACCGGTGAGATCGCCGCTCCGCCCGACTCCGTTTTGCAAACACCGCTTCACCCATCGGCCTCTCCGCTCAGCGGCTGCTACGCCCAGCTTCACCCAGCAGCCTCTCCATTCGAGCCATTTGGCTCCCAAAGTCAGGCATCCACCGCTGCTCCTGAATACAGGGTGCTTCCAAAAACTGTTGACACTTACATGGAACTATTGTTTTTCATGGACAAATAATTGATAATACACTAACATGATAACACATGTATGTTAATAGCTTAAAAAAGTCAGTCTCCACTTGTTCGCCATCATTGTCAACACATGCCTGGAATCTTCTCCAGGTGGTCTCCAGAGCCCGAAGGGACATTACTTGTATTGTTGCAAATTCTCCGAAGTGTTAACATATTTTTGAAGCACCCGTAACACAAACAGACATTCTGATTCTCAGAGCTGGAATTGATTGAAAATGAGATTAGAACCAAGTTTAAATCAGTTCATTTGTGCAGCCATTGGTAACCGGTCTTAGACAATTAATTTGCTACATTTGAGAACCCGGTTCAATAGCAGTGGGGCTGCTGTCTGGATTCAAACCCAGGTCTCTCCGGTGTCAGCTCAACACTCTGACTTCTGAGCCACCAGGCCACGTCAATCCAACCTGCCCTATATTCCCCATTTGGCACTCTTCACATGCAGACAAATATCTCTATTATATAGAAGTGTGCTTGATATATCATCTTTGTATTTTACCTGGCTTGTTTTTTTGGTTGATAAACTTTATCTCTAGCTGTGAGTTGATCGAGTTTAATTGCAATGTATTAAGGTAATCATGGACGCACCCAGATTCCAATTAACATCAGTTAATTTGTGTAGGGCTTCCGGTAACAATAATAATCGTATGTCTACACAAATACACTGACTTCATAATTGTTTTACCTATGTCAGTGGTTTTCTGGTGAAATTAGCATAATAAGGGGCTACTTGTGTAAGAAGTTTATTCTCAGATTTTGCCACTAGGTGGCAGACATATCACACGAACGATGACGGCACCACCATTGCACACCTGCGTATTAGAAGAGCAACGAGCGGTTATTCTATTCTTTGTCCTCTGTGGGAGTAAAGAGAAGTTCAGGTGCATCAAGGAGCAACACTGCAATGTGGTGACAAGTCTACGATTGTCTGTGACTATTCATGCCCGTCATTTATGAGTCGTTCTGCTGTGTGTGGATTTTATTTTTTATCCCAATACCTTTTTAAAGGCAGAGTAAAATAACGAACTTACCTTGAAGGGTCTGTTTCACTACATGAAGCATAAAGTTTTATATCCTTGTTGGTACTTTTTGGTCCAGATTTGTCAGGACTCAGTACACCTTTGCCCAGAAGCTGGAGAGGGACAAGCCGCCAAACGCGCAGCCACAGTACTTGTTTGGCACCAAGGTAAGACATCTCAGAATTACACTTTAGAGACGGGAAAAGGAGCACGTGGACCAGAGAACATACGTAAATAATCAAAGTTACCATATTGGCTCACATAAGTATGGTACAATGTAGATTAAATTGGGGCATTAAATCAGGGCTTCGCAACCTTTGTCATTGCATGGCTCACTTTCGAACTTGCTTGATCTTTGCAGTGTGTGGTGGGGGTTTTCGGCAGTCTTCTGCCGTCCTGTGCCAGGCCGACTGGCGGAGAGGGGCGGAGTTGTGTGGTGGATCGGCCACTGAATGGCACGGGGTGTCGTTTCTGCCCTAGCGTGCAAACAGTGAGGTTCTTTCCTTTCCTGTAATTCAGAAAATACCGCGGCACATCTGGGACTTTGCCGCGACGCACCAGCTGAGAGGGATAGTTTAAATGACCTCAAGAAGCGGTGCAGAGTGTGGGTGTTTATAATGAAGCAATCATCAGTCATCGTTTCAGATCAAAATCCTTCTTAGCTTTCGAAATCTCTTGTGATGTAGAGAAATTTTGAGATGCAATGTGCGTGAATGACACCTTTATAAATTATTATTTTTACGTGGCACATCTCGTCTCAGGCGTTTAGCTGCACTATGCACCCCCATCTGTGTTCCCTGCCCTGGCCAGTCCCCGTTGACTCTTGTGTTGATGTATGGTGGGGGGGAGGCTGCCATTCGTTGGTGCATTGAGTGGCTGGAATTCGTGTCGTATGTTTTTTTATGTTGTTGAATCGTGCTGTATGTTCAAGTTGATGTAAATGTTGTGATTTTGGCAGTTACAGTGAGGGAAAAAAGTATTTGATCCCCTGCTGATTTTGTACATTTGCCCACTGACAAAGAAATGATCATTCTATAATTTTAATGGTAGGTTTATTTGAACAGTTAGAGACAGAATAACAACAACAAAATCCAGAAAAACGCATGTCAAAAATGTTATAAATTGATTTGCATTTTAATGAGGGAAATAAATATTTGACCTCTCTGCAAAACATGACTTAGTACTTGGTGGCAAAAACCCTTGTTGGCAATCACAGAGGTCAGACGTTTCTTGTAGTTGGCCACCAGGTTTGCACACATCGCAGGAGGGATTTTGTCCCACTCCTCTTTGCATATCTTCTCCAAGTCATTAAGGTTTCGAGGCTGACGTTTGGTAGCTCGAACCTTCAGCTACCTCCACAGATCTCTATGGGATTAAGGTCTGGTGACTGGCTAGGCCACTCCAGGACCTTAATGTGCTTCTTCTTGAGCCACTCCTTTGTTGCCTTGGCCGTGTGTTTTGGGTCATTGTCATGCTGGAATACCCATCCACGACCCATTTTCAATGCCCTGGCTGAGGGAAGGAGGTTCTCACCCAAGATTTGACGGTACATGGCCCCGTCCATCATCCCTTTGATGCGGTGAAGTTATCTTGTCCCCTTAGCAGAAAAACACCCCCAAAGCATAATGTTTTCACCTCCATGTTTGACGGTGGGGATGGTGTTCTTGGGGTCATAGGCAGCATACCTCCTCCTCCAAACACGGCGAGTTGAGTTGATGTCAAAGAGCTCCATTTTGGTCTCATCTGACCACAACACGTTCACCCAGTTGTCCTCTGAATCATTCAGATGTTCATTGGCAAACTTCAGTCGGGCATGTATATGTGCTTTCTTGAGCAGGGGGACCTTGCGGGCGCTGCAGGATTTCAGTCCTTCACGGCGTAGTGTTACCAATTGTTTTCTTGGTGACTATGGTCCCCAGCTGCCTTGAGATAATTGACAAGATCCTCCCATGTAGTTCTGGGCTGATTCGTCACTGTTCTCATGATGATTGCAACTCCACGAGGTGAGATCTGCATGGAGCCCCAGGCCGTGGGAGATTGACAGTTCTTTTGTGTTTCTTCCATTTGCGAATAATTGCACCAACTGTTGTCACCTTCTCACCAAGCTGATTGGCAATGGTCTTGTAGCCCATTCCAGCCTTGTGTAGGTCTACAATCTTGTCCCTGACACCCTTGGAGAACCCTTTGGTCTTGGCCATGGTGGAGAGTTTGGAATCTGATTGATTGATTGCTTCTGTGGACAAGTGCCTTTTATACAGGTAACAAGCTGAGATAAGGAGCACTCCCTTTATGAGTGTGCTCCGAATCTCAGCTCGTTACCTGTATAAAAGACACCTGGGAGCCAGAAATCTTTCTGATTGAGAGGGGTCAAATACTTATTTCCCTCATGAAAATGCAATTCAATTTATAACATTTTTGACATGCGTTTTTCTGGATTTTCCTGTTGTTATTCTGTCTCTCACTGTTCAAATAAACCTACCATTAAAATTATCGACTGATATTTCTTTGTCAGTGGGCAAACGTACAAAATCAACAGGAGATCAAATACTTTTTTCCCCTCACTGTATTTGCAGTGCGCCGCACATCCGCCAATAGCGGAAAGTCTCCTCCACCTCATCGGTTTGGCTTTGTGAGGTTCTGCTCTACCTTTAATTTGAAAATAACTCGAGTAGGTGAGCAGTCTTTTTCTTCCGTATGGCTTGGGAAACAATCAACAGTCCACAATTGTACTTTGAATCTTGGAAGCCATTCCATGGGCATCCAGGGTAGCTGAGTGGTGTCTGCTTGTTGCACCGGAATACGCATCTCATTTAGCGCTTTGTTTTCTCTCGCATAACCTTCGCGCCCAACCTCGTCAACACCTCGCAAGCTAAGAAGGGTTGAGCTTGGATAGCGCTTGGATGGGCGATCCCTGTTGAGCACAAACATAGGCGGACGCGGGGCCGAGTGCTACCTGGCAGCCGGTAGAGAGTGGTTTGTGAAAACATCCATTACTGAACTGTACTTCTACGCTTGCAAGTCAAAGCTCCCTGCTTTAACCAATGCCATGCTGACCATCGTGGCGAAGTACGGTCAAATGGCACTCGCAACCCGCACAGTCATCACAGCGAGGCCATTGTCCAGCAGCCGAGTGACCGAAGTGTGTGCGTTGTGCACCGTCGTAGTGAATGCGGCGCTCAATTTGCGTTGCTCCTCTCGCGTTGTGCGCGCGACGGCGCCGCGTCGCACAGGCACTCAACACGGCCTACACGTCCCTGTACGGCTCCTATCGGTACTTCCTGGGCACCCCTCATCTGCGATCCATCTGCCGACTGCTGGGATACCAGGGCATTGCCGTGGTGATGGAAGAACTTCTCAAAGTGGTCAAGAGTCTGGTGAGAGCGGTTCCTTATCCTAGTGCAATCCACGCGAGCCACAGTGCAGTGAAACCCAAGCTGTCCGCACTCGTAGTTACGGGTGGCAGTGCTAACAGGTGTGGATCAAACGGCAAGAAGTCCGTGACTTTGATTCCTGACTCGGGTGCCTTTTATGTATGGCTCTTTTTCATATTATCTGGTATCTTCCCATAGCTAGAAAAACACTTTCATTTAAATGGTATTGACCAAACATCTCAATGCTGACAAATTTGTAGCAAATTTATCAATTGGGATAAAAAAAATACTAAGATCCACTGTATAGTCTTAACAGACTATTGGGGCAAGTGCTGTTAGTGAGCATCTATGAAGTCCGGCACAGTACACGAGGGGGTGGGTGGCCAGCACTACGCCGACCGCCTTTGTCTCCCCAGTGGCGAGGTTTACATTTGAGGCTGAGTCAACCTAGGGGAGGTGGCACAGCACCAGTTCAGATAATCGTCACTGGTGTTGGCCGTGAGCGGGGATCGAACGCGGGTCACCAGGTTTCATAGCGCACTCATTTAGGATCACACACAGCAGCAGCAGCATGGCCCCCCTACTGCAAAAACTGGGCCAGATGGTTCTGATAAAGTATTGAGACTCAGGCATTCCTGGGTAAACAAGCAAAGTAATAATGACAATTATAGTGGGGAGCCCTGGCCCGGATATCTGGCAATTCTGCTGGGCTGAAAATGCATTGACAATCAATTTGACAAAACCACATAACAACTCCACTTGTACATGCCTTCATCAGTATACCATCATCGTGTGTGGTGTATATGTGTTTTATTGCACACAATTAAATCCAACATTAGCTTATTAACTTGTACATATTTGGCCTTAAATGTATTACATTTAACTGTCATTGGTTACGCACTAAATTCAATAGCTTTAATGATTTTAAATATCAATCACTTAATCTTTTTTGCATATATAGTGCAAAGTTCAAACGATACTACGGTCAATTTTAAAAACAGAAATGATGTTTTGAATATAGTTTTAATAATTGAAGAAAAAAATGTCATAACGTGATTGTACTCTTGACTGGAAGAGCACGGAGTCATTTGATCATGGAAGTGACATTATTTGATAGAGCAAACTATTTTTTAAGGCCCACTGAGCTTCCGGTAAAAATCATAATCGTCTTGTTTGCACAAGTAAACAGACTACTCTTAATTCTGCAACCTATTTCAGTGCAATTCTGGTAAAATTTGCATACTGAAACTACTAAAATATTTGTTCTAAATTTTACCAGGTAAGGCCCACTGTGCTATATAGCTCTTTTCCAGAAGCGACCTGACCACAAATTATAGATTTTGATTTAAAGCTTTCGTGACTGCAGTAATTCATATTCTTAGCTCTTTCGGTAAAGTCACGTTGAAGGGAAACAATAAAATAATAAAATCTATAAAACACAATAAAATAATAATATATAACAATAATATATTTTATTATTTTATTGTTTCCCTTCAACGTGACTTTACCGAAAGAGCTAAGAATATGAACACAAATTATAGCTCAACGAAATTGCTTATCGTGTGGAAATTTATAGCAGCCAAATACTCTAAAAGCATGTTTACTATATGTGAAGGGAAAAACTGGAGGGCTGGAGAAAAATCCACACGACCACGGGGAGAACGTGCATATTCCAAATATACAGACGTCAGGATTGGGATCGAACCCACGACCTCCTGTATACCAGGCAATTTCGCCACCGTGGCGCCTTGCAATGGCGGAGCCAGGATTTTCAGGTAGAGAGGGCAACCCCTCCAGCAATGAAAAATGATCGGAGTTGTTAGTAAGTAAGGACTTGTCCATTGTGTTTTATTTGACGCATGTGCGGCGATGGCACAGCCATCAATCGAGGGTCGAATTCGAACCGCGTTGTGATCGGCATCGCGCTCGCTGAAGGTGAATGCCTTCAGGGAAGTCGTGTACTGTATACGCAACTGCGCACAATTCTATTAGTCACTTATAACTGCTTTGCCAATACTTATTGCCAATTATGGACTCAGACTATTGTCCTATCATCTCATAGAGTCCCTAGCACGTAATAATATGCTACACAGTGGCAGTGGGGGTCGCAAAATGCCGATTTATTACTAATAAACCCCAATGATCTGATCGAAAGTAGGGATTTCGATCGGATCATTGGGGGGGCACATGCCACCCCACCCCCCCCCCCACTGGCTCCGCCAGTGGTGCCTTGTGACATCACACTTTGTTATAGATTAAAAACAAAAATGCAGATCTTCTAAAAATTTCATATCTGATTCAGATTTTGTGATTTTACGGATTTATCCGAAAACCGAGTCTGTTGTCCGCAGCGTAGGACTGTGAAGGGACTGTGCGGGGAGGGGATTGTGGTTAACTTCGTCTGTCTCCTGCATTGTGCGTCCATTGTCCCACAGCTGCAGGGCACCATCCTGCAGTACGTAAAGACACTGATGGAGGTGATGCCCAAGATCTGTCGCCTCCCGCGCTACGAGTACGGCTCCCCAGGTCGGTGCTCGTCCCCTGTGCCCGGGGATATTCGGCTGTGGCTCCCTGTGGCCCGTCGAATACAATTCGTGGGGGCCACGCGGCGTCACGTGTGCCATGTTTATGTTGCCATACACGTGTGTGTGTATGTGTACGCTTGTGTGTCACTGTTGCGTGGGGAGCGATAGTGCAGTGCTTACCGCGCGGCACTACGAACCCGGCGACCCATGTTTGGTTCCCGCTCACGGCTAACAACAGTGACGATTTTCTTAAAATCGCCCAATTAAAATCACTAAATTTTTATCTTGAATTGGTGTTGTGAAATCTTGATTTGAAGCTTTCGTGACTGCAGGAATCCATGCTCTTTGGTTCTTTCGGTAAAGTTACGTATAACCCTTGAGCTACACCCATTTCAAAACTTTTAAAACGGTCTGCCTCAGCAGCAGGACCATGCTTTCCCACCTGATGACGGACGCTTGTGTTGCACCCGAAACATCGTGATTTATTTTATTTTATACCTACGTATCTTTACCGAAAGAACCAAAGAGTTTGGTGTTGTAAAATTGGCAGGAATTTGTGATATTTATTTTAGTGACTTACCTTTTTTCTGTCTTGCACTCATATCTATCTTCTCGTGGGAACTCACTGACCTGCCCCTTCTGGACATCTGTGAAAAAGAGCTTCGTAGCTAACTGGATTCCTGCAGAATAAATAAAGATTCTGAATAATGATGGAACGCGTGTGTGTGCACGTGTACGCTTGTGTGTCGCTGTTGCGTGGGGAGCCATAGTGCAGTACTTAGCGCGCGGCACTACGAACCCGGCCACCCGAGTTTTATTCCCGCTCACGGCTAACAACAGTGACGATTATCTTAAAATCACGAAATTTTAATCTTGAATGTATTTTTACAACAATTGCTGTTATTAAGTTTTTTTTTTTAATCTGTAATAGTGGAACGCTTCTTAGCTCTACGGGATTTACTGAGTGGGAAATACATTCCTGGTTGTGACCCCGTTGGTTTGGTGGCACAGGAATCCTGGAGTTCTTCCACCACCAGCTCAAGGATATCGTGGAATACGCCGAGCTCAAGACCGACGTCTTCCAGAGCCTGCGCGAAGTCGGCAACGCCATCCTCTTCTGCCTCCTCATTGAGCAGAGTCTAGTGAGCTGCACACCGCTCGCTCCACTCCACCTTCTTTGTCGTTGTTTGATGTTGTTCCTTCATGTCCACATGTCCCTTATACCTGCCGCTGTCGTTGCTGTCACCACTGCTGCCGTGCTGCAAATGAGACTTGGGACACTCGCCTCTACCTCTCAGACACCTGGTTCATCGATGGAGAAGATGATAGTTTCAATTCCTGGTTCTTTAAGCGGGAAAGTTATGGTGTTAAGTGCTTCATTATTGTAGTGAGAGGGTCTCGGGTTCAGCGGCCGATTAATTGAATAAGAACTGAAAGTATAAGGACACCTGGTTCGTTTAGTACCCAGTAGACAAGGGGGACGGACGCTTGGATGGCTCGTATATCACTGTCGCTTTGTTAACCAAGAGTAGACTCTCCATCCCCTTCTCCACACGTGCCCACAAGTAGTATACTCTGCTCACGCAGCCTCTCGTGTGTCGAGCACGACTGAGGCCTACGTGGGCTGCACACATCGCTACTAAAACAAAGTGCCGGTGGCTTTCCCCCCCTGTAGTCACAAGAGGAGGTGTGTGACCTCCTGCACGCCGCGCCCTTCCAGAACATTCTGCCCCGCGTCCACGTAAAAGGTGAGGCCGCACCACTGCGACCGCTTCGCCTTTCATGCTCACCATCAGTACCACCATGCAATGTACGGATTATGTATGTGGAACTTCTATTGTACCGTACATAGCCAACCGTGCTAATCGGAGGTGCGCCAAGACTATGTAACGCCCTGCCACCTATGGTAACACAGGCGAGGTCACCCACCTTATTTTGGTTTTCTCTAAAGACCGAAACAATGTGGCCTGGCCTACACTTCCCATGTATGACCAGTGGACTCTGGACTCTGCACTATTTATATTTCCTAAATTAATGAATGGCACACTGAGATCTTTGGATGCATTGCGCCTTATAAATGTCAATTATAATTATTGTACCCCGCAAGCCCGTGTGGCACATTTCGCGGGCATCCGGCAGCAGGCGGCCCTGCCGGCAGCTGTCGCTCACAAGCTGAACGCACCTGCAGCAGCAGCCAGCACGTGGGCCGGAGTCTGCCAGTAGGGTGTGATGTTGTCGTGTGGCTTCCAAATTGATCAAATTTGGCAAATTGGGCCGATTTATTTTTTTTCTCTCCAAAATCTGGCAATGAAGCTGAATTTTTTTTTATTAAATTGGGCCGATGTGCAGAATTTCAGAACAAACTAAAAACAGTTCCATTTTGACAAAAAAAATAATGTCACAGGATGTGAAATCGGCTTCCCAACGCCACACCCGCTCTCCACCAACCGTGGCATCATGCCGTTGCGGGTGATGCAGCATTTTTAGAATGAAGACACGTTACATTTTCACGTAATGTGCCACATGTTCAAGTATTAAATGATGATAATTTTATTATTACGTAATAATTTTACGTCGTCAGATTACTTTATAGAAAAAAACCTGATTTTATGTTTTTATCTGAGACTCATTGATCGTTTGTGGTTTGCGTGCACAGAGGGGGAGAAGCTGGAGGCAAAGATGAAGCGGCTGGAGAGCAAGTACCAGCCCCTGCACCTCGTGCCGCTCATCGAGAGGCTAGGGACCCCTCAGGTGACTCCGCGGCGCTAGCTGTCGTCCCCAGTGGCTGGTGAATCGGCCGGTCTACTGATGGAAGGCTGCCCCGTCTCTGTTGCCCCTGTGTTTGGACCTCCTTAAGAACTAGCACCATCGGTGTTTGTCATTGGTGGGCAGGGTGAGACCGGCTTGCGACGCGTGAACGCCCGGTGGAGGCCCTGGCTCTCGCCGTGCCTGTGTTCGAATCCAGGAACCTGGCGATGCCAACTCAGCTCCATCGAACTTTTGAACCGCTTGGTCCGTATATATTTAAGAGCGGGCACTTGCACAGGTTGCAGGAGTGGAGCCTTGCTCATTGCCACAGTGGAGTGACACTGCACGCCCAGTAATCTTCATGACCTCAAATTGCCTTGTAATTTAATTTTTTATTTAAAGCTTTCGTGACTGCAGGGATTCATATTCTTGGTTCTTTCGGTAAAGTCACGTGACTTTGTCATTTAATGTTTGCCTGCGCATCGACTCGGCCTCAACTGAATACCTGGTGGGGTGTGCAATCGTTGCTGTTCGGCCGGGTGTGGTGCTGGCCACCCACCACTCCCTCGTGTGCCGTGCCAGCCTTCAAAAGCACTCGCTAGCAGCACTCGCTCTGACGGTCTGTTAGAAACTATACGGGTGATCCTTGTGCGTGCGTCTCGCCACAGCAAATAGCGATTGCACGTGAGGGCGACCTGCTGACAAAGGAGCGGCTCTGCTGTGGCCTCTCCATGTTCGAGGTGATCCTGTCGCGCGTACGCGCCTACCTGGACGACCCTGTGTGGCGGGGGCCGCCCCCCACCAACGGCGTGATGCACGTGGACGACTGCTGCCAGCTCCATCGCCTGTGGAGCGCCATGCAGTTCGTCTACTGCATCCCCGTGGGCACCAACGAGTTCACCACTGAGTGAGTTCTGCCGCTTGCCGTTTACGTCCACGGTGGTGGCGGCGGTGTTTTGAATGACGTCATCCCAGACGCTTAACCCGTTGTACACTCGTTGATCTGCGTGTTGGACCTATCACCTTAATCTGTGATCTGCGTGTTCATCCTTTCACCTTCTTACTCGGGGATTTGCGTGTTGATTCTATCACCTTCTCACTCAGTGACTCAGGTGTTGAACCTATCCACTTCTTACTCGGTGATCTGCGTGTTGAACCTATCCCCTTCTCACTCAATGACTCGGCTGTTGAACACATAACCTCCTCACTTGGTGACCACACCACTCCCTCGTGCGCCGTGCCAGCCACAATAGTTGCTCACTGACAGTGCTTGTCTATATGGGGATCTGTATTTGTACCTGTGCTTGTGTATCTGTATTTTAAATTTCTTGTACGTGTGTACCCTTGGGGAGACAAAGGTGGACGAGCATGGTGCTGGCCAAGCTGCCCTCTATGCTCTATTGCACCGTGCCGGCTTTCATAGATGCTTGCACTTCATTCGGCAGCTTTAAAAGTCACAACAAGGGATTTGTGTCTTGAATCTCTGCTTGTATCCGATTGTGTCTCTGTGTATCCGGCTGTGTATCCGGTTGTGTATCTGGTTGTTGTGGTGGGGAGCGGTAGTGTAGCGATTAGCGCGCTGTGCTACGAACCCGGCCAACACCAGTGACGATTATTTGAACCGGTCCTGGGCCTCCCCTAGGTCGACTCGGCCTCAAATGAGTACCTGGTGCGGTGTGTAAACATCGTCACTGGGGAGACAAAGGCTGCTGGGCGTGGTGCTGGCCACGCACCCCCTCGTGTCCCATGCCGGCCTTCATAGGCGCTTGCTAACAGCACTTGCCCCAACAGTCTGTTAAGGCTATACTGGGGGATCTTTGTATCCAGTTGTGTATCTTGTGTGTAAACCTTTGTTGTTCACAGGCAGTGCTTTGGGGATGGCCTTCACTGGGCCGGCTGTTCCATCATCATGCTGCTGGGCCAGCAGAGGCAGTTCGACATGCTGGACTTCTGCTACCACCTGCTTAAGGTGCAGAGGCACGACGGCAAGGATGACGTCATCAAAAACGTGGTGAGTCGGCGAAGCCGTGTGAGCCCGAGGTCGGATGCTCGCAGCCGGCTCTGCTCAGGGTCCCAGGTTACCGATCCGGGATTCAGCCACTACCCGAGTGTGAAACCATGACGTCACTGACGCGCTTTCCCTGCCATCGTTCGTGGTTTTACTTGTGCTTAATTCATTTGCAAATTGTGGCTTTCATCCTTACCTGTGTAGCAATATTTCTATTATAATGTGCAAAGTAATTGAGGGACTGTGTTGTTGTTGTCCTAGTGTGGTTTGGGATTATTGTTGTTGTCTTGGTGTTGTCTGGGACTGTTGTTGTCAAGGTGTTGTCTGGGACTGTTGATGTTGTTTTGGTGTGGTATGGAACTGTTGTTGTTGCTTTGTTGCCTTGCCCAAGCTTGCATTTAGTGTTGACAAATAGAGTATGTCTTTTCTAGATTTTTGTTATTTTATTTTTTACCTACGTGACTTTACCCAATAGAACCAAAGAGTATAGTATTTGTCTTCTTGGTTCTTTCGGTAAAGTCACGTAAAGTCATGTAGAAGGGAAACAATAAAATAATAAAAATATAAAACAATTAAATTCTCACGACGTTTCGACTGCAACACAAGCAATCATCATCAGGTGTGAAAACCACAGCAAGAAAATTTGAAAAAAAGTGCTGTGGTTTTCGCACCTGATGATGATTGCTTGTATTGCAGTCGAAACGTCGTGAGAATTTTATTGTTTTATTTGTTTCCCTTCTACGTGACTTTACCAAAAGAACCACGAATATGAATCCCTGCAGTCACGAAAGCTTTAAATCAACAGTATTTGTCCTTTTGCAATTTGTACATACACGTATATGCTTTTTTATCCTTATTTATTTAATTTTTGCATTCCTTTTTTTTTATTGTTGTGTTGTTGTAAATGTCTCACCCGCCCCTACTGGACATATGTGAAAAATAGCTTCATTTCTCATGGGATTGTTCCTGCAGTATAAAGTCTGATTCTGATTTAATTATTAGAATTAAACCACATAGTCACGTAAAAATTGTTGCAACAGAACTTTGTGTTTATCTTAAACATTGCAAATGTTAATATTTACATTCATTAAAACGATAACATTTTCTGCACAAACAATGACTTTACCGAAAGAACCAAGAATATGAATCCCTGCAGTTATGAAACCTTTAAATCAAAACAATGACACATTAGAACAATTGAACACATAGAAAAATGAAGCGTGCATTGAGATTATTTAGATTCTTTTGGTCCTGTAAATGTCAAATGATGAACCACTTTGTTGAGCTATCATTTGTGATAGTCAGGTCACTTCTGAAAAATAAGTTAATTCCTCAGTGAGCTTTGCCTGGTAGGATGGGGATGGTTTAGTTTTATTTGTACGTATTTGGGTGAATTGTTTACCTTTATTGCACTTTGCACTCCTATCGTGTTTGTGTACTGTTTGTTGTTGTAACGTTCTGACCCGTGCCCCTACTGGACATCTGTGAAAACGAGCTTTATAGCTCATTGGATTCCTCCAGTAAAAAAAGAAATATTCAGATTTTGGTTCTGAGAATCATCTTCATCATCAGCCGTGCTCATTCAACTGCTGGATGAAGGCTTCCTTAAGATTTTGCCATCTCTCTCCGGCGCGTTCCCTTCGGCGGCTGCCGCTCTGTCGGGAGGCGGGATGCCCGACCATCGGCCATCATCTCAAAATCATACAAATAAAACACATTACTCTTTGGTTCTATTCGGTAAAGTCACGTAGGTAAAAAAATAAAACAACAAAAATCACGACCTTTCGGCCCCAACACAAGTGGCCTTCATCAGGTGAAGGGGACCGTACTGTCACGAGGACAGCGTTGGAGTGAAGACAGTCCAGCCCAGGTCGCGTCCTTTTAAGCTGTGTGGGAGGACACAAAACGCTTTGACAAAGGAATTAGCATAAAATGACCGTAAAGTGCAATAGGACCGGCAAGGAGGGGGGAGAGGGGGAGGAGAGTGTGAAGGGGAATGACCGTAACGTAGAGGACCGGCACGGGGGGGGGGGGGGGGGGGGGCAGGGGAGTTTACAAATGTGGTGTGAAGTGAAATAAGCTGCAATGAAAGTTCGGTATATCACTACTTGGATAAATATACTGTACCATTGAAATTAGTTTAATGTTTGGTATGATTTAGAACATCTTTCCAATGGTTGCTTAATTTGAAACCATCTTCTCGGTTGAAATTGTGTCTGTGTTTGTAAATCCGAATTGCCTCGTGGATAAATCTCTGATGAAAACCCGTGGGTTTTCAAAGGACCTTGGTATCGGAGAAAATTATATCGTGATCACCCACAGCGTTGTGACAGTGGTCAGCTACGGCAGAAGAATTCGTTCTGCCGTAGTTGAGCCTACAATCCTGACGATCCGATAATTTGATTATTTTTATATTTGACGTGAAGTTTATCTGTGGCGACCGCCCCCCCCCCCCCTCCCGATTTGTGCGATGCCAAATGCGCGTGCGGTCACTCTGTCATTGCAGCCGCTGAAGCGGATGGTGGAGCGGATCCGCAAGTACCAGAGCCTCAACAACGAGATCTTCGCCACGCTCGGCAAGTACCTGAAGGCGGCCGACGCCGAGGCCATGCCCATTGAGCACGTGCGCTGCTTCCAGCCGCCCATCCACCACTCGCTCGCCAGCAACTGAGACGCGGAGCCGGAGACCGAGGGGGGGGGGGCGGAGCCTCGGGGGGCGGAACGCGAGTGCAGTAGAGAGAGAGGGAGCCGGTGAGAGGGAGGTAAATGGGAAATACGGCTCGTTACCTCTCTGGCGGTTCTTGCCTGTGGTTGCAACCGTCGTGCCAGGAGGTGTGGAAGCAAACCAGCAGCCTCTGGACTGCAAGTCAAGGGGCGGTTGACCTTTACTCCGCAGCTTGATTTTTCCATTTTTTTGTTGAATGCATATTTTTCTTTATAACGCTTTGGCAGCAGTGCACAGATAAGAGGAGGACCGCCCCTCGGAGGGACGAATATGTAATGGGTGACGTTTAGAGCGGCGAGGGCCCTTCCTATCCGAGTGGTCGTAACTAAAGAGCTTCTGTCTTCTATGGAGAAGAAGAAGAGCCTCTTCCTTACCCATCCTGTCATAGATGCGGCTATAAACTAAACTAACTTTTTTTATTTTACCAGTTAAGGCCCACTGACCTACGCAGCTCTTTTTCAGAAGTAACCTGGCAACAAATGTTAGCTCAACGAAGTGGCTTATCATGACGTGGAAATGTATAACAGCCAAATACTCTAAACCCCTGTTAATTATAAATGTAGAGAGAAAAACTGGAGGACCCAGAGAAAAATCCACATGACCACGGGGAGAGAGACACACAAACTCCAAATATAGAGACCTTGAGGACCTCCCCGAGGTCTTCCTGATCTAGAATGGCTCCTTGGAATTGTCCCTCAAGGTCCCCTTTTGTAATTGCGCCGCTTGAATCTCTTCTGCCTATTTGCTGTATTGGGATATAGTTTTGTAAGCAGTGAGTGCTGTACAGGCGCGTGCGCTCACTCCCGGGCGAGTCGGTGATGATGCACTGTTAGCGGGTGCGGCGGTCGGCCCGCAATCATGCGTGGGGAATCCACACGCAGGGAAAAAGGAGGTGCCTTGAGAAAGCAATGCAGAAAGTAGACTGTCTGTGCGCGGAGTCTTGAGTGTGAGACTCCGCACAGGATTGGAGATGCTGACACTGTCATTCACACTTAACACACACTAGCCAAGCCTCTTGTGTTTCAATATCACCGCCTTGCACATTCTTCGAGAGGTAGGGAGTCCGACGCGGGTCACCTCACCACACTTACATGGACGTAGGTTGAAGGGAGACGCAACACAAATGCGCAGTTTCCTCATTTGCTTGTCTACGGCAGAGAGAAATACTGCCCGTCTGCGGTGAATAGGACGTCAGAACTTAAACTCGAAACCCATCTCGTCTCCCGGACCAAGCACAGCCGTTTCCAGTCAAACATTCCTTGGCTGGCTCCCACAATGCACTGTGAACTGTAGCTGTCATGCCGGCTCCCACAATACACTGCACATGATGTAGCCATAGTTCCAGCTCCCCCACAATGCCTTGCATGTACTGCAGCCACACAGCTGACGGTGGCACTTGGGATACTTTTTCTTTTGTTTTCATTCGCAAACTTCAAACTCTGGTCTCAGACTGCCAAACTCACATAACCTATGCATGCAGCTCCGCAGTAAGAACCGTGCAATGTTTGGGTTGCATCTTCCCTTTAATCGAGGCATCTCTGTGTTGAGGGCGCATTTGGTCTACGCACCATCCACGCAGATTTGAAAGCGTCCGGTAACTGTGTCCGGCTGTGCCTTGTGTCACTCACATAGAACGTTAGCATTTCGTTTTTCGTGAGCGGGCTTGATAATTATACAGATGATGCCTCACTTTTGGATGTGGTCTAGAATGGGACGAGGACTCGATGGCATTTTATGCAGTGCCCTGTCAATGTGCCTTAATCTCGCCTCTAGCAATCGCCTTACCACCAGACCAACCGTAAAATTGGCATTAGTAATTTATTTCCTTTTCTTAGCACTATATTGGGGGAAGCGTTTCACAGCTGTGGGTGTGCATTGCGAGTGGGTGTTGGTTTATGCAGCGGACAACAATGCTGAGTAGTGTGTGAGAGTGCACATGCGGAGTGCACGTCAAGTTAGAATGGCTGTACTCTCCGGATTGTAAGACGCAACAGTTTCTTGTTTTTGTTATCGATGTCGTCTGTGTTTGTGTGACCACATTTGTGTAACATTGACACCGGCCACAAGTTTAGGATCGCGTCTTACTTTTCGTGAGCATCTTATAATCTGGAGAATATGGTAATGCTGTTTGGGGAAAGCCTTTTAACTGTTACCAAGTAAGAGTTTGGGTTTTTCCCCCTTGGACAATGATGCTGAGCTGAGTGCGGGCACATGTGTGGCTTTGCATTAGCAGGCTGGGCTGAGAGGTTCGCTGTCGTTTGTTTTTTGGTCAAAGCCTTGGCAGAGCTAGCTTCTCTTCATGTTCAAATGCGATGCACCGTGGTTTGTCGAGGAGTGGAAATGCCGTGGCGTGATCCGTCGTTGCACTCCCCCCCTGCTGTTTTGTACGCATCAAATATCAACGAGGAGGTTTTAACAAATACCACGCGTGGATCTCATGAACCCGGATTCCTCTGCTTGGCCTTTATGTAGAAAAAAGCCACACGAGGGACGTGCGGTTGGTTGACCAAGCGCGTGTTTAAACAGCGCTGCCGCGTGCGACGAGCGGCGCCCACGGAATGTGCCTCCTCCTCCCCCCTCCTCATCCACCGCCTCCTCGCGCTATGCGTGTGCGTTTTAAAGTGAGGTAAATGCGCAGCGCCGCATTGCCCTCCTCACGCCACGGAAGGGCCTCCACTGGGGCAAGCGCTGGAGAGAGGCCCCTCTAGAAGTGTAATTTTTTTGCTCATAATGACGACAATATTATTTACGCGATCTAACCCAAAAAAACCTTTATGTATAATATTGGTCACGAAAGACTACATGTTAAGCTTGTAATTTTGGCCTACACCTTCATGCTGGCCAGACGTTTTTGGAAGAGGTGGGATTTTCCCACATTTTACCCCACCACCTACAACCAGCTGATCAACACAGATTGTGCTGTATAGAGTCGGGGAGGGGATTGTAAGAAACGTTTCCCCTCGCTCTGCGTGTGCTTCCATTTCCAGCTTTACCGTAAGAATAGTATAGACAGTCACCGGGTTATAGATGGGTTATGTTCCCGAAAACGATCTGTAACCCGAATTTTACGTGTCGGAAACTGAACAATTTTCCCCCAATATCAAGATAAATTCCATTTACCTTAATCCCAATGAAGCGAGAGCTAGGCATAAGGCTACCCGTCTTACGCCTCACTCCACGGTATTCAACCTCACCACGCTGCACTACTTGCGCTTACCTGACTTACACAAAAAATTCCGCGTGTTGAATATTTTTTTTACATGATTTATGGGAGCATTTCCGTAAGGTCAGATTTCCGTATGTCGGAACTTCTGAAACCCGGGGACTGCCTGTATTTTTGCAATCAACGAGCAGCGTTGTGATGATGAGGGTTGTAGCTTTCGGCACTGGCGACGACGGCTCTCGAGCATCCCAGACAGGTGCCCCCTGATTAAAAGGTTTGGCACTTTGTACTCCCACCGCGTAGACTGTTGGCCTGTCCTACAGAGTGACGTGTTCTGTCGTGCAATACTGGACAGTCCCTCCGCTGCCTCCTTGCGCCACCGCCAGTACTTGTGCAGTATCCCAATCTATTTGACTAGCAAAAAAAAACAAGATTGAATTTGAAACGCCTGTAGACAATGGCCGAGTTTCTATTTTTCTGGAAATGTTGGCAATTCTTGAAAATGAATGTCCTTTGAACATTCACGCATTCACCCCTTATGCTGTATCGCCACTCGTTCTGTGTCGGGTAACATGATTTTAAACCACATCCCGCCACCCCCATGTGTGTGAGGGGCCACGGAGTTGTGCGCTTCTCTTGGCTGCGTGATAAATGCATTGACCGTGTTAAGCAGAGTATCAGATTATAGCGGCTTGGCCTTATTTGCGTTTGTTGACGGTCGGTGGCCCATGCACAGCGAACACGTGGTCCGGGCAGCCGTGTAGACAAGTGCCCTTTAGCCATTGTAATGGAGCTCCACACTTTAACACAGGTGTCCGCTCGCTCTACACGGTAGCGGGAGTAGTCGTAGGAGATGCGTTCCAAAAAAAGACACGAGGAGACAGCTGCCTGCCTAGTAGCTCATAAAGTGCACGCAGTACACACACATTACACACAGTGCACACCTAGTCCACACAGTACACAAACACACAGTGTACATACAACCCACACACAGTACACACACACAATACACACACACATTACACACACACATTACACACACATTACACACACAGTGCACACCTAGTCCACACAGTACACAAACACACAGTGTACATACAACCCACACACAGTACACACACACAATACACACACACATTACACACACACATTACACACACAGTGCACACCTAGTCCAACAGTACACAAACACACAGTGTACATACAGCCCACACACAGTCCACACACAGTCCACACAGTACACCACACAGTCCACACACAGTCCACACACACAGTCCACAGACAAAGACAAATACTCCCCTAATAGCCTTAACAGACTGTTGAGGCAAGTGCTGTTAGTGAGCACCTATGAAGGCCAGAACAGCACACGAGGGGGTGCGTGGCCAGAACCACGAACGACCATTGTCTCCCGATTGCCAATGTATACACACTGCGCTCTGTACTCATTTGAGGCTGAGTCAACCTAGGGGAGACCCAGGACCGGTTCAGATAATCATCACTGGTGTTGGCCGTGCACGGGAATCAAACTCGGGTCGCCAGGTTCATCGCGCGGCGCGCTAACCGCTGCACTACCGCTCCCCACAAAGTACACACACACAGTACACACACAATGTTGTCCCACGTCCGACCGCATCACCGCATCTGAGTGAATTCAAATCGCAAAAAGCTAATTTTGGATAGGGTAGATTAGGTTAGCTGCATGTGTACAGAAATCGTACAAACTGAACGTGCACAGAGCGAGGGGAACGTGTACAATAGAGGGGAACGTGTACTACAGAGGCGCACCACCCAAAAGCACAAACAGCAATTCAATACCCTCTGGTTCTTTCGGTGACTTTACCGAAAGAACCAGAGAGTATTGATTCCTGCAGTCACGAAAACTTCAAATCAGCAATTCAATGAGTCGTCACGGCTTGGAGGGATGATTCAAAGTGAATGTTTTGTTCGTCTGTCTGGTTGCATGTTCCGTCTCATTTGAACCATAAGCATGAAGGTGACGTCGTGATATAATTAGCGTCGGTCTTAAATAATCGGTTCTTACACGCGTGATTCGACGCTGGTGTTGCGGGCCTAAGAATCGTTGAATGGATGCATTTTTAACACGTCCTCGTGATATTTCTCTGCGTCGGATGATCAAAGTAATTTTTTGTTGACAAAATTGTACGAATTGTAGACATGGTGGAGGGGTGATGGGGTGAATTAACCCAACATCAGGAGTTAAAACTTATGATTTCAGGTTGCGAGTTAACTTTTATCGATTTAAATTCGCGGAAGAGTTTAAATCAAATATTTATGTGTACTCATCTGCCCCTTTACCAACAAAATATTGTTTAAAAATGTAAAGAACCTACATCACACAAAGAGAGAGTGTTTGTTGTACCTCCCCACTTTATAACATAATGCGTTTGACAATTTGCTTTCCGTGTTAAACAGATGTAGACATTATTTAGACTTGGTACGGAAAATGTTTCTTGCAAAAACTGTTCTTGCGACGAGTGTCTGCATCATGCCGGATTATATCTGCTGACGACGAGCCTCAAGTCCATGGTGGAAAGTTCTGATTGTGCACGTTCATCCCTTCAGAGCATCGCTTTCGTGCAGGGGTCGGCAACCTGCGGATCCAGAGCCACTCCAGGGGCTCTTTGCGGACTGCTTCATGACGTGTGTGTGTTTGCATTCGCATTGCAGCTCTTGAAATGTATTGCATTTTCTACCGAATTTGAAAAAAAATTGGATGCTCTTGTTATTTTGGTTGCCGACCGCTGAGGTTAGTGGATACCTTGAGTGGATCCCTTGAGTGGATCCATTGCTGGATGCGGGCATCTCCGTGGCGTGCACCTCTGGTAGGGTCACTTTGCCATACCTACCCACGCTGGGCACTGCTGCTCGGTGGAGGTGGGGAGCGTCGACGCTCCGCATGTGGCCCCCCGCCGTGCCACGCGACCCCTAGCACCCTAATGTGCACGGCGGTCGCCCATCGAAGTACTAATCCGGGCTCAACTCTGCTTAGCTTCCGAGATCCGATGGATCTGGGCACGTTCCGAGTTGCTCCATGGGTGTTCATTGCGATGCACTCATGGCGCGTTTCAACCATCGTCACGATCCGGGCAGCCCTTGGATCGGTTTGGCCGCTTTTCTCTGAGCGGGTTCACAAATAGCAACGCAACTTGATTTTAATTTTGGCTTCACACTGAATTGTCTTGTTCTGTCTGCTGTCACGGTTGTGTCGAGTGGCCGGAAGCGTTGACGTAGCTGTTGGCGCTCTGCGCTACAGACCTGGCGACCGAGGTTGATTCCCGCTCACGGCCAACAACAACAGTGAGGAATATTTTAACTGGTCCTGGGTCTCCCCTCGGTGGACTTGGCCTGCTGCGCTGTGTAAACATCGCCACTGGGGAGACAAAGCCGGCTGGGTGCGTGCCGGCCTTCATTGATGCTGCTCGCGAACAGCACTTGTCCTAACAGTATGTTCAGGCTACACGGAGGTTCTTTCTCTTGTATGTGTGAGCAAGTGACCCTTTGAACTAAACCTTTGTAAAAAACAAATATGGGTGTGCGTGTGAGAGGCATTAAGGATGAACCCACTTTGAGCCCACTTGCCCTCGTCCTGCTCGAAACCCTTCTTCAGATGGGTCCTGGGTCAGAGCCCCAATGCGGCACTTGTAAGTGTTCTGGCCAGGCAGGGTAAACAGAGGGGTGGGGGAGGGAAGAGTACTTCTAAGAAACGAAACATTGGTGGTCAAGAGCACAGGGGTCACCAGCGTCGATGTCCGCAGGAGCCCATTCCGCGCTAGTCGCCCAACGTCCATGCCCTGCTCAGTGTCCTCCCGTGTTTGTTCGCCAGACTACAGCTCGGTGTCATCAAATTGCTGCTTTTTAGAGGACTTCGCTGTGTGCAATGCGATTGCTTGTCTGCGAGACCAACTGGGTGCAATCCGATTGCTTGTTCTTTTGCTCGGCGAGTCCTGGCCTCACGCAATATAAAAAATGTCACTTGCCATGACCGAACCTGATTTTGTCGACCAGAACCCAGTTATGGAACTGCCAGGACGACTCAGTTGTTGAATCCTTAAGCTCGTGACCGCTTAATCCAGAGTTTGACCCCCTTGTCAGGACCGAATCCATTCCATCAGTCTCTTGCAGTCGGTAAAACGAGTGCCAAGGCAAGAGTGCTCATCTCTGCCATAGGAACGTCGAGTTTCCATTGGTAGACTTGTGATTGGCGAGTGTGCTATATGTCCATCTGGTGTCATCTTCACAGCTGAGGGTTGATGTCTGTGACATATGCTTCAGCTGCGTAGCACGTGGATGAGCGTCCAGGCGTAAGAAACCAATTTTTGATAAGTGATCAGATTCCGTCGTGCTATTGAATAAATAAAATGTAAAGAGAGGCTCATCTTGGCTGCCGCTTGGATCGGTGGAGACCAAAAAACGCTCGTGAAATATATACTGTTTTATCTTGTACTCTTGGAAAGGACACTATTAAACACACGACTAACATTTAAAACGCGGTTTTGTACTCGTGTATCCCGATATACTGACTATATTGACGTGTGTGGCTCTAGGGATGTGTATGTGTAGTGCTTAGTTGGTAATGGATTTATAAAGTTTTGCTATCTCAATAAAAATGATATGTATTATTAATCGGAATGGGCCCTGTGTATTGCCGGTGCACGTTTGCTCGCAGCACGACGACCATGACATTGATTTGAAGTTCACGACCAGCCCCCTTTGTCATTCCACTGCTGGATGAAGGCTTCCCTGAGCCCTCGACTATTGCTCGCAGTATCGCAATGCAACGAGCCTTCCAGCACTTGTGCACGAGCCGAGTTCACTGTTCCGTCTCTACCCGCCAGGCGCCCTTCTGGCGAGTGCCCTCGGGTTGCCGTCAGTCTCGAGCGCTGTCCCTCCCAGCGACGAGCCCACGTGGCGTCTCTGGCAAGTGCTGCCCCCTCCATGTGGTGTGAATCCGTCTCGGATGCGGTAGCTACCGCGTCTGAGACAGCCTTTACGAACCCGCCGGTGAAGCCCACGGACACATGAAAGCACTGCATTGTAAAAGCAGATCTTTATTGTCAAAATCACCACGCTATATCATCACCTTAACACGAATCGTAAAACGGCAGTAACACGTGATAATAATAGTACTGTGGCAGTAGTGATGCTTTGAAACACTGAATGTGGCCTTAAAATACAAAAGGGGCCCCGACTGGTACGTGTCGAGAGCAGCGTGCCGTGGCACGGGAGGAGAGCCGTGATGTTGGGCGAGCACCGGGCACGTCGGGCGTGCAGCCTTGCGACAGCGGCCGTACCTTGCCACCTCGTGTTGCCCGCGGGCGGTGGGGAACGGTGGCGCAGCGGTTTGCACCCTGTGCTATGAACCTGAATTAGATTCCCGCTCACGGCCACAAACACCAGTGACGATTTTCTGAACTGGTCCTGGGCCACCCCTAGGTCGACTCGCCCTCAAATGTGTAGCTGGTGCAATTTGTTAACATCGCCACTCAAGAGACCAAGGCGGCCAGGCGTAGTGCTGAACCACCCATCCCCTCGTGTGCCGTGCCGGCTTGCAGAAGTGCTCGCTAACAGCACTTGCCCCAACAGTCTGTTAAGGCCACACGGGGGAGCTTTGTATCATGTGACACGGTGTCACGCTATCACTAGACAAGCCGAAGTAAACTCTTTGAAAAAACAAATAGGTGTTTAAAAAAACCACATTCGTCAAAAACATTGTAGCCTTAGGGAAAGTATACCAATAGAAGACGTTTGGAGCAATGGCCCTTTTGCACAGAACATAGAGAGGCTATCACGGTAGAGAGTACTCATCACACCGATCCGCTTTGTGATTGTGACGCTACAGCGCTGTCACGGATCCTGAAGCGTAATTTGGTCATTAAAGCCACGGCATCAGGTGTGTGCGTGTATTGTTACCAGTCAACGTTCAGTTTTAACTGCGAAATTAGCTTTATAATTCGCATGCAGCACGAAGCAGAATAGCCCAAGTGAATAACCGGTTGATCGGCGGTCGAGGGAAGGCATTGATGATGATGACGACGACTAGAGTCAGCTCCAGCGTCGTTACCGTGGCGAGCCACCGCAAGGCTGCTGAACTTTGAGACAGAAGGGCCCCCAACGCCTCGCCTGCGCGCTTGTCCTGTGCACAAAATCAAAACTCGATTGCATCCGCACGTTGTCTCTCACAGTCTGAAGGACTCGGGGCCGGATCCATTTCTATCCTCGGGTCGTCCGTTTGCTGCTGTGGCTTTCCCCCCCCCCTCTCCGTTAATGTCTCCTTCCGACTTATCTCGCTGACGGCCGATTGGACGGATACCGGTGACAGAGTGGCTGCCAAAGGAGGGGGAAGGAAGCCTCAAGACGATGCCAACCACAGGCCGGCGCCCGCACCCGAGGATGGAGCGCCGAGATCGGCTCGTGCGCAGGAGACGGATCGTGGTCTCGTGGGGACCACGAGGGATGGCGACGGCCGTAGGGAGGCTCATCCAGCAGTGAACAGGCCACGTCGCCCTCTCCACTCCATTGTGGCCCAGGCTGGCGTTGAGCAAATAAAGTTTGTTTACCACAGTGGCGACCATTTGCAGCCTGGCTCTGGGCCCAAGTTGAGTGAGGAAGTTGAATCGGTTAACGTTCACAATGCTCATTGCTGCCAGCTGTGCAACATAAAGCTCCATAAACAATCCGATAAAACACTCAGAACCCTCGCTAGATGCAACACAGAACCCTGGTCGTCTTCCCTACATCTTATTCATATTAGTTAACTCGGATTATACTGAAATATTTGAATCGTACTGCATAATCATAACCGTACAGATGGCAAGAAAATACCTGGAGACACTTAAGTACACGCTTGCGCTCTTGAGCGATTGGCTCTTCACTCTTGACAGCAGTGTCCCGAACGCCTCACCCACGTTGCTTGTGTCATGCCAGGCGTGTAATGACGCGTCGGCTCCAAAGCGTACTCGGGTTGTTTCCGCGAGGATTTCTTTCGGTACGATGTCCGACGTTCTTCTCGATGTACTGGGAGCTTCTACAGGAACTCAATTTGAGAATCTAAACCCGACGATGTCGATGGTGGTGATGATGACGTTGATAATGACGATGATGTGGTCGATAACGATAATTACCGAATTTACTTCACCCCACTTGGGCTACGTTGTGGGCAGCAGGGAGCAGTGCAGGAAAATCCATTGTTGTACTGCACTCCCGTGCTACCCACACCTACTACACTCCCTGCCTTCACAAGCCCCTGCAGGCCAACGTGGTGATGTACGGTCAAAATAACCACCCTGACCCATACAACATGGCCTCATCCAGCAGTAGATCGTCAAAACGGTTAGGATAATCTGATTATTCTAACCCTAATAATATACGATTACAGGTAATCTGATTACTCAACGCACCACTACATGAAAATGAAACGATGCAGAGCGGAACGCGTCCGACAGGAGGTTAAACAAGGAGATGGAGCGATGGAATCGGCTTATGCGTGGCTGTGAGTGTGGATCACTGCATCACATGATCGTGATAGATGTTAGTTGCTTTCGGGTAGCCTTCATTCAACAGTGAATTGATTAAGTTAAACATCATGGGATAAGCACGGTTGATCTATTAGTAAAAAGGGTGAAGCAATGTGGTGATGTCGATAATGATGACGGTGAGAACGAAATTACAAAAATAAACCTTTCTGATTTCATCCTTATGCGAGTGGCATTACAAAACGAATGTAAACCTTGTACATCTCCTGTGCGTTATTTCACAGACGCTGGGTCTGGTTTACGCTTTGGTGGAAGGTCGATGTTCGGCAGAGAAATGGCCCAGAGCAGGAGAGCCACAGTGAAAGTGTGTCCATGATACTGTCACAGCCACCATCACAGGGCCACCTCTGAGATCCCCTCCTTCACGTGGCTTCCGGTCTACATGGTAGCGGGAAGCACCTTCCCAGCCCTTCTGCCAAATGAGGGTAATGTTTGTGGCGTGACTGGTCAAACCGATATTTTAATTGTCGGAGCTGGAATTCGGCCAAATTCAGTGCAGACCCAAAAGTAACATGGTGGTGTATTTTGTGTCGCCATTGATGGCCGGGCTGAGACCACATCAATTGCCTACACGTGAGGGCCCTGGTTTAATATCAACTCGGCCTACGTGAATGTGTAGGACTCTATGGGAGTCTATGGGTCTCCACATGCAGTCCTCTACTTAAGAGCATCTTTCTTCCGAACGGGCCCCAGGAACGAAGTGTTCGTAAGTCGATGACTGTCGGTATTGGAGTCTAGATCTCCGCGCATCGTTGGTGAACGGGCTTCGACCATCAACTCGCCACCCTTAAGAAACCCGGTTTAACCCCTCGCGGCCAAAACCCAGCTTTGACCCCAGGACCTCGGGGTCACCGGCTCGGCGCCGTGATCTCTGGGCTGCCCAGACCAGGGCCGAGTTACAGCAGCGCGAGTCATCGACCGCGCCAGCAAAACCGAATGGATCACAAACTCGGCAGCGCCCAGCTCCACTCGCACCGAGACGCCGGTCCCCCCGCGGCAGCTCCACCGCTCGGGACCCTCTCACTCTGCCAGCCCAGATCCACCAGCGACCGCGGCCACATGGCCCTGGCTCGGGGCGAGCTCCCCGGGGTCAAACGTCCGGCCGGGGTCCGGGCTTGGAGTCGCCGCTCGCCCTCCCAGCTGCTGCTCCTCTTGCACAGCGAGCCCTCCCTGTTCGGCACGATCCACAGCGTCACTCTCCCGCTCCTCCTCCTGCTGCTGCTCCTTCTCCTGCTGCTGTTCCCCCTGCTGCTGCTCTTGCACAGCGAGCCCTCCCTGCTCGGCACGATCCACAGCGTCGCTCTCCCACTGCTCCTGCTGCTCCTCCTGCCGCTCCTGCTCCTCCTGCTGCTCCTCCTGCCGCTCCTGCTGCTGCTGCCCCTCATGCTGTTGCTGCTTCTCCTGCTGCTGCCCCTCATGCTGCTGTTCCTCCCGCTGCTCCTCCTGCCGCTCCTGCTGCTGCTCCTCCTGCTGCTCCCGTTGCTTCTGCCGCTGCGGACGATGGTGCTGACTCATCGCCTGATGTTGATGTCTTTGGTGTATCTGCTGTTCCTCCTGCACTGGCTGCTGCTGTAGTTGACACTCCTGCTGCTGCTGTGTCAGCAACAGCTGCTGCTCTTCCTCTTGCTTCTTCAACTCCAGCTGCTGCTGTTCCTGGTCTGGCTGCTGCTGCTCTGGTTGTTGGTGACGCTGCTGTTGCTGCTGTTGCTGCTGCATCAGCAGCAACAACTGCTGCTCCTCCGGCTGCTGCTGCTTGGTGGCGCCGCCGGCCACCGTGCCCTTGCCCAGCTCCCTGCGCCGGCGGCACCAGATGCGCAGGCAGCCGTAGAGCAGGAAGGCAGCGATGAGCAGCAACAGCACGCTGCTCGACACCCAGATGGCGATCGCCATCTCCTTCTTCCGGTTGCCCAGGTCCAGGCCGGTCGTGTGGAACGCGACGCAGGCGCCCTGCTCGCCCCCGTGCGGCGCTGGCTGCTGCTGCTGCTGTGCCAGATGCGGCTGCTGGGACGACCTCTGCTGCTGCTGCTGCAGAGGCGCGAGCAGCAGCAGCGGCGGGACGGGCGCACACGACACGCACGCGATGTAGCCGGTGAGCGGCGTCAGCCCCTGTAGTGCCACGTGGTGGCGGCCCGGCGCGACGCGCTCCTCGCGCTGCAGCCGGCGCGGGGACGTCCCCGCCAGCGGGCGCTCCCAGTCGGGGTGGTGCACGGCCCGGGGGGCCCAGCCCTGCGGACAGCGCCATGACGGCGACCACCCCACGGAGGCCGCAGTGGCCGACACGTTGCTCACATGGAGCTCCATCGCTCCCGGGTGGGCGCTGGGGGAAGCTGGTGGACGCCTGCAAGGGAGAGTCGCAGGCTCGGGTTAAGAGGCCCACGGGAATGGAGAGCGCGAGTCCGAGCTGTCTCGCTGTCACAGACAATGCATCCAGCGATCTTTTGCCTCCTAGGCATGGCAATCGGATGGAGAGTGCGGCTTGCTATCCACGCCCTTCTCACAGTGCAAGGCGATCGAACGCAAAGGTGCCACATTTTATCTGCAGTCAATTACAGGGGTTGGGAATGGGTAGCAATGACCTGGAAACACATGTATGTATGTTGAACTTCTTTCGCACTGTACATAGCCAACCGTGTTAATCGGAGATGCGGGGAAGGATAACAAACTAAACACAAAAGACAGTTCTAAAGAAATTCGTTTTCATTCGAATTTTAAAAGAGCATAGAGATCTCGGTGGCTTCCTAATATCGGAAAAAAGAGCGTTCTGGACGGCCGCAGAAGTGCATCCGAAAGCACGTAATTCCGTGACCGTCTTTGTTCAATGGCCAGCCAAAAGCCGCAAGGTTGACCATAGTTCACGTCATGGTTTATGCTCCTTGACGAGATCAGCGAGGTATTGTGGTAAATTTGTGGAAAGCACTTTGTGTGTAATGTGTGCGACCTTATAATGTATTCGTTCGGCAATCAAAAGCCAATGCAGCTCAGCAAGCACTGAACGGACATGGTCGGATCTTGCAGTACCCATCACGACACGTACCAGAGAATTTTGTACAGACAGCTTGGTAATGTTTTTGCCAGATGTCCCGTATTGTAGTGAGTTGCAATAATCGAGCCTTGTTGATACTATGCTATACACCGCTGCATTGGCCATATCACGACTCAATCGTGTTTGAATGTGTCGTAGAGCCCTGATATGAAAATTGCAGGCCCTCACTATATTTTGCATGTGGTGATCAAACAACATTCTGGTTGAGTATGGTGCCAAGGCTCTTTAGATGAGTTTAAAACTGGAATGCTGGATTTGAAGCTTTCGTGACTGCAAGGATCCATACTCTTTGGTTCTATTCGGTAGTCACATAGGTAAAAAATAAAACAAAAAACACGACGTTTCGGCCACAACACAAGTGGCCTTCATCAGGTGAAGGGACCGTACTGTCCAGAGGACAGAGTTGGAGTGAAGACAGCCAAGCCCAGGTCGCGTTCTTTAAGCTGTGTGGGAGGAAACAAAGAAACGCTTTGACAAAGGAATTAGCATAAAATGCATGTAAAAATGCACGTAGAGGAATTCGGATTTGAAACACGGCAGAACGAATTCTTCTGCCGTAGCTGATCACTGTTACAACGCTGTGGGTGATCACGATATAGTTTTCTCCGATACCAAGGTTCTCTGCAAACCCACGGGTTTTTGTCAGAGATTTGTCCACGAGGCAATTCAGATTTACAAACACAGACACAATTTCAACCGAGAAGATGGTTTCAAATTAAGCAATCATTGGAAAGATGTTCTAAATCATACCAAACATTAAACTAATTTTCAATGGTACAGTATATTTATTCAAGTATTAACTCCCCCCCCCCCCCCGTGCTGGTCCTCTACGTGCATTTTTACGTGCATTTTATGCTAATTCCTTTGTCAAAGCGTTTTTTGTTTCCACCCACACAGCTTAAAGGACGCGACCTGGGCTTGACTGTCTTCACTCCAACGCTGTCCTCTGGACAGTATGGTCCCTTCACCTGATGAAGGCCACTTGTGTTGTGGCCGAAACGTCGTGATTTTTGTTGTTTTATTTTTTACCTACGTGACTTTACCGAATAGAACCAAAGAGTATGGAATGCTGGAGTCTGTGACAGCCACGCCTGATGCTCCCACAAATGTTTTCGCCTGAGCCTTAGTGCCAACCAGCAGAACCTCCGATTTTCCTGGATTAAGCAGCATTTCGTTTTGTGCAAACCACACGAGCACGGCTTGCGTGTAATCTTCGAGGTCACCGAGGCTCTCCATATCTTACTTTGACTTCACTGCGGTGTATAATTGTATATCATCGACATATTGATGGAACTTAATGTAGTGCGATGAGATGACATCGGCGATCGGGGAGACGTACGTTGAAAAAAGGAAGGGCCCGAGGACGGATTCCTGTGGTCCACAAACTAGCCACGGCATAGGCGATGACCGTTCGTCTCCCAGCTTGACGAACTGTGATCGACCACGTAGGTACGAATAGATCCACCCCAGTGCTGTATCCAATACACCAAACCTTGACCTTAGCTGCCGGATGAGTATCTCATGGTCTATAGAATAGATCCACCCCAGTGCTGTATCCAATACACCAAACCTTGATCTTAGCTGCCGGATGAGTATCTCATGGTCTATAGTGTCGAAGGTTGCTGAGAATCGAGGCCAACAACGCTGGTGCGCACTGATCATCTTGTAGAGGTCATGGGGCGATCTTTAGTCGAGCTGTCTCAGTGCTGTGGAACTTCCGGTATGCCGACTGCAATGGGTTTAATCTGCCCGTCGCTGTAATGTGGGGAAGAAGTAACCACTTCAAAGGCGCTCTATGACTATTGCAATCGTACTCAGGTTTGAGATCGGGCAATAGTTTGCGGGGTCACATGCGCCATTTTCAACCGGTATGGGCAAGGGAACAAAACAACAACAGTCCCAGAGCACACCAAGACAACAACAACAGTCCCAGAGCACATCAAGACACAACAACAACAGTCCCAGACCACACCAGGACAACAACAGCAGTCCCAGACCACACCAAGACAACAACACACACTCCCTCACTTACACTGCACATTATAATTTAACTATCGATACACGGGTAAGGATTAAAGTTACACATCACATTTGCAAATGTGGTTGTATGCAGCAATAATCTTCTGCTTGAAGGATATATTTTTTATGTTAAGGGAGGAAATAAGGTTGTTCCAAAACGTTGGTGCTTTAACAGCAAAGGGTTTGTTACCTGTTCCAATTCTTGTTCTTGGGATAGTTAAAAGGCAATCAGATGGACATCTTGGGTTTGACGATGGGATTTGCCAATAAGGATGTTATGGATGAACATGACCCAATGTAGATATGTTTCTGCATCAAGTGATGTCAGATTTGAATTTAAGTTGAGGTCACAATGGTGGATCCTGTATGGTACATCCAGTGCAAATCGAAGAGGAGAATGATGAAACGGGTTTAGTCCGTTTACAGCAGGGGTCAGCAATCTGCGGCTCTTTGAGGGCTGCTGCTTCGTGACGTTAAGTGGCAGAATAATAGCTTCAGCAACTTGCAGGCACAATCGAATGGGAAAACAATGTGTTTCTGTATAAAAACCCTGTTTGCACTTGATTGTTTTTTTAAGTGTTATCAGTATGGGGATGGAGCCAAGCCAGATTGTAAATGTTGTGGCTTGGCTCTCCAACACACCGGTGTGCTGTACTAATGACGAATTGGCATGTTCTGTTTACGTGACAACCCTCACTAATTGGCTGTGTCGGGTGGTGGCAAGTTTAACGACACATATATTTACGCGATTTAACCCAAAAAAATGGTATTATGGATACTCTTTGGTTCTTTCGGTAATGTCACGTAGGTAGAGAAATAATAAATCACGTTTCGATCGCAACACAAGCAATCGTCATCAGGTGGAAAGATAACGCAGCTGCTGTGCGTGCGTACGTGCGGCGACGGAACTCCTTTCCATCTCTGACCCCGTCTACTTACCCTTGGGTGACACCCACCTCAAACCTCTACATATAACCTCTTGTTGCAGCAGCCCTTTCTTGTTCAGCACTTCTACTGCTGTATCTTTCCACCTGATCACGATTGCTTGTGTTCAATCTGTCTAATATGTGTATATGTCTGTGTGAATGATGTCTATGTATGTTCAATCTGTCTGTTATGTATCTATGTGTTTGTATGTTAATATATGTTCAATCTCTCTGCTGCAGTATGTGTCTGTACAGTGAGGGAAAAAAAGTATTTGATCCTCTGCTGATTTTGTACGTTTGCCCACTGACAAAGAAATGATCAGTCTATAATTTTAATGGTAGATTTATTTGAACAGTGAGAGACAGAATAACAACAAGAAAATCCAGAAAAACGCATGTCAAAAATGTTATAAATTGGTTTGCATTTTAATGAGGGAAATAAGTATTTGACCCCCTCTCAATCAGAAAGATTTCTGGCTCCCAGGTGTCTTTTATACAGGTAACGAGCTGAGATTAGGAGCACACTCTTAAAGGGAGTGCTCCTTATATCAGCTTCTTACCTGTATAAAAGGCACCTGTCCACAGAAGCAATCAATCAATCAGATTCCAAACTCTCCACCATGGCCAAGACCAAAGAGCTCTCCAAGGATGTCAGGGACAAGATTGTAGACCTACACAAGGCTGGAATGGGCTACAAGACCATTACCAAGCAGCTTGGTGAGAAGGTGACAACAGTTGGTGCGATTATTCGCAAATGGAAGAAACACAAAAGAACTGTTAATCTCCCTCGGCCTGGGGCTCCATGCAAGATCTCACCTCGTGGAGTTGCAATGATCATGAGAACGGTGAGGAATCAGCCCAGAACTACACGGGAGGATCTTGTCAATGGTCTCAAGGCAGCTGGGACCATAGTCACCAAGAAAACAATTGGTAACACACTACGCCGTGAAAGACTGAAACCCTGCAGCGCACGCAAGGTTCCCCTGCTCAAGAAAGCACATATACATGGCCGTCTGAAGTTTGCCAATGAACATCTGAATGATTCAGAGGACAACTGGGGGAAAGTGTTGTGGTCAGATGAGACCAAAATGGAGCTCTTTGGCATCAACTCAACTCGCCGTGTTTGGAGGAGGAATGCTGCCTATGGCCCCAAGAACACCATCCCCACCGTCAAACATGGAGGTGGAAACATTATGCTTTGGGGGTGTTTTTCTAAGGGGACAGGACAACTTCACCGCATCAAAGGGACGATGCACGGGGCCATGTACCGTCAAATCTTGGGTGAGAACCTCCTTCCCTCAGCCAGGGCATTGAAAATGGGTCGTGGATGGGTATTCCAGCATGACAATG